AATCAATGGTCAAATCGCAAATCCCTCACACATGCAACATCTCCATTCGGTGTCGCAGAGCGCCCGGGCGCGCTGTAAAAGGGATTTGTATATCTATTTAAGTACGTGGTTAAGGGCGCTAAAGCCTGCGGGGCGATTATTGAAATGATATCGACTGTATGTCAGCGCTTTGTCGTGTCGCGCCATCGACTAAGCCATTGCTTAGTCGATGGCGCGACACGACAAAGCGCTGACATACAGTCGATATCATTTCAATAATCGCCCCGCAGGCTTTAGCGCCCTTAACCACGTACTTAAATAGATATACAAATCCCTTTTACAGCGCGCCCGGGCGCTCTGCGACACCGAATGGAGATGTTGCATGTGTGAGGGATTTGCGATTTGACCATTGATTTTTATGTAAAAGTTGGAACAGAGAAACACGATGGTGCCATTGGTTTTCTCTGAAATCATATCCCAAGCTCAAAAAAAGCTCTCAAAGTGAGGCCAAAATGGAGGGGATATCCCACCCTACCCTGAGAGTCCACCTCTACATCAAAACAAACTCTTCATACATAGATAGGAAGCAAATACATTAGCAGGGTTGCCACTTTATTTTGGGACTCCAAAACTTAAAACACGGCAACCCTGCTAAGGTATTTGCTCCCTATCTTTTCATGGAGAGTTTGTTTTGATGTAGAGCCTCTCAGGATAGGGTGGGATATCCCCTCCATTTTGGCCTCACTTTGAGAGCTTTTTTCAGCTTGGGATATGATTTCAGAGAAAACCAGTGGCACCATTGTGTTTCTCGCAAACTTTTACATAGGGATAAGCAGTCAAATCGCAAATTCTTCTCACATGCAACATCTCCATTAATTGTCTAAAGAGGTACGACGTTTCAAAAACTTCAGGCTCAGTTTTCTGCGGCTTTCAAACGTTTGCCCATCTGTGGAAGTAAAACCGCGTACTTGTATAGGCATACAAGTCCCTTTTACAGCGCGCCCGGGCGCTCTGCGACACCTAATCGCCATTCGTGTCTATCGACCCAGAGGTCATCTGGTGAATGGCATCTTGGTAAAAACCACGTACTTACAGGATCAAAATGAAATGCGGTACCCGATGGTTTCTCGTGCTTGAACTAAAGAGTGCCGTTTTTAAGACCATATTTTTGAATTGATTATCAAGTGAGTTACGGCGTTTCAAAAACACGAAAGTTCCATCAGCTCCTGAACGTCTTCTAGTAAATCTCTCGTGGTAATACTGCTTAGTCTTTATTTGACTTTCTTGCGAAAAAAAATACCCATGTTGGGATCCTCAAGAATTTTTTCTTGAAGTCACTCTGCCGCACAGTGGATCGAGTCAATGAGAGCGGTCAGTCATGGAACTTTTGTCTAAAACTGCAAATTTTGATGTTTTTTTCGTCACATTTTAAATTTTTAGGAGTGCTTCTAAACGAAATAATTTCACGAAGAAACCGATGGACCCACTCTTAGAACCTCAAAGTTTTGTATGAAATATGAGCGAAACTTTATAAGCATCGGAATGAAAATATGTGGTTTGCTTTTCGGCCGCGGGAATCCTGATGAGAGGATATACCTATCGACGCACTATACTTCTTGGTGAAATAAAAATGAATTTCACCGGAAAAGTATTGATAACATGCAGGTAAGTATAGGACATTATAATAAATTCCCACACATGTTCAATAGATAATAGATCAATGTGGGTGAGCCATCCCCAAAATCTCTCAAAAATCGATTCCTGATCAGAAAAGCGCACATGTGGAGACATCACCGCATATTTGAATTAACGCGCCAATTACACGAAGATTGCGCCATTTGTGCAACTCGCGCATGCGCATTCGGCCATCTTTAACTTTTTGAAAAGTTTGTTTTGATTCGGAGTTATCTCACAAGCTCCTGATAATTATCGACGGAATCCTGAAATCTACACATTAATTTATTTATTTGATTATTATTTAAGTGTACAACTTGACGAAATCTTCACAATGCCGGTTTCCAGCGAGTCTGTAAGTGTACTTTTCATTTCCACGTCAATCTGATCGAAGTCAAACAAAACAATGAGTGCAGCGTGATCTTAGCGCCAATGCTTCGTTATCGTTTTGTCCCCGTAACGGGAAATTTTATCTTCACCGTCTGATAGTTACCGTCTTTTTTTAATATCAATGCCATTTTATAGACCATATTTTCATATTTCATGGATCTCGAAAGTTTAAAACCTCTTAGCTGTTGATAATGAATCAGTTAGCTCTCTCCACTTTTTCCAACGCACCTAGATGTGCTTTGATCTAATCCCTGTCTCTACACTATTTTCAATACGATTTTCACACAAATCTAAAAATTGCAATGCAACTCCTTTTCACTATCCTAATGTATGTATCTGTTGCTTCGAATCAAGGGACATAGCCAAGAGCGCACTGATAGCGAAATAGGAAAAATCTGCGTCAACTTTCCGACAGTGCAAACCATCCTGATGTATTTTATCAGAATGGTTTTAAACAACCATTTTTAATCTAGGTAACCCCAAGTTCCCCTTCTCTGCCGTCTTAAACATATTTGCTGTAAATTTTATACAGAAATATCCATTTTCCTTCCTTAAAAACTGTACAAGCGGAGCATAGTTTTATTGTCCATAAGATTGATATTGATTTAATTTAGAATGTCTTAATACATTATCCAGTGCCAAATTTTTGTAAATTTTGGTGAGCTCTTTGTAGAATGTGAATATGAAACTCATTCAATTATTATTCTGGGTACTCAGTAAAGAATAGCGTAGAAGTAATATTTTCAATTCCTTTATAAACAAGCAAAAGTATGTAAGACCTTCTATGCTATGAAAGAGGCAACTTAAGTTCTCATTTGGTTGCTGAATAAATGTATTTGAAACTGATCAATGTAAAATTGAGTCCAAATACTATCTTGGTTTTAAGTAGTACTCCTACCTTTTTGAGCTTTTCTCCTTTTAAATTATGATGCCGCTAATGTTCATCAATCAATTCTTTTAGATCTGCCAAGAATCAAGCCCAGCGGAAGAAACAAATTTTGATCCACACTATGAGCCTATTATCTCCTTACCAGAAGTTAATGTAACCACAATGGAAGAAAATGAAACTGAAATGTTGAAATTGTAAGTATTCGTAGGAATATATATTTTGTTTAATATTTTCACCATGATACCTCAAAGGAATTTTAAGTTTGCCACCCATCTAAATGATAGCAGCAATTTTCTCTCTTGCAGAATTGTTGTTGCCTACAATCAAACAACTTAATCAGCCAAAAAACACAGTAAAAGTCAAGTGAAGAAGAGGAAAGGCTGGGGGGAAAAAATTAAACAAAAAATCTGGACACCTCAAAGTACTTTACAACTTAATACCTATAAAACAAAATTGGAAAGAGAGAAAATAAAGAAAAAATTGATCGTCAATCTGCTGTTAATTCGAACAGAGGCTCAGCTGAAGTTCAGCGAACCTATCTTGTTTTCCCTTTTTTTCTCTTCTCAATTGCTTTGCAAATTGAAAATGAAGTTTTAGTACCTATTCTTTGCAAAGTCCCAGGTTTTTATTTAATTTTTTCTTTTTTTTTCTCTCTTTTTAATCCAGCTTCTCCCCGGATTAAGTTGCTTTTTACTGTTGTCTAGAATTTTCCAAAAATGTTGAGGATACTCTTTAGTTTACAAGATGAATGTCTGGAATTTTTAACAGCTTTCAGTATATTATTGTCAGGTATTTGTTGAATATTTCTTTCTTCTCAATTAACGGCTCATTAAACTTGAGAAATTTTAATTGCAAGAAATGAGTGAAGACACTTTACCACCATGGCACGAATACGGCAAGGTCATGTGTCTGTTCACATTTGGACCATCGAAACTGCTATGGAAAACTATGATGTTGCTGTTAAATGAGTCTATTGAATTTTAGCATCTCTAAGTAACTACTACTTACATATTTCTTCAGGTTATCAAGTAACTTCTTAGAATCAAAAACTCTTTTCTGCACTTCTCTCTGAAAATTTTTTATGGAGTACATAATATACTTTTTCAAATGTTTGAAACACTCCTTCTGAGCGGAAAATAAAAAAAAAACTTCTATTTAAAGCACAGTACTCAAAAATATATGCCTTCATCATTATCGATGGTATTTTTAATTTGTCTTGTTTGATAATATTTTTCACATGAATTTTCCTAAGAAAACAGACTTACAGCTTATTATCAACTGTAAAAGACTAGGTTATAATAAATAATTTTACAATCCCTACTCTTGATCAATCCATAATTTTGCTGTTTATTTGTATTTTCAGAAGAGCAAAACTATTCCGATATGATTCGAGTTCAGAGCCGCACGAGTGGAAGGAAAGAGGGACGGGTGATGTCAAGTTGCTCCGCCACAAAGAAAAGAACACAGTGCGAGTTGTCATGCGAAGAGATAAAACCTTGAAAATCTGTGCCAATCATTTCAGTAAGTAGAAAAAGTTTTTGACTAAAAAAATAATTACTTAAAATACGAAAAGAGAAATTAATCACAGAATTGAGTAGCACTAACTATCAAACTTTACATTTAAAAGACATCGAGTTACCTTAAGTTAATGCTAAAACTTAAGAGTTGAAAATAGTGAAGATGGATTTCTGAATATTTTTTCATCCAACATATCAATGGCTAAATGCGGATAATGCTCATCACGATTGAAACATTTTAAAATCTCCAACTATGGTTTATTTTTTCAAAAAAAGTCATCTAAATTTTTCCTTTAAATTTTTTGTCATTTTGTTAGGAGGAGTGACAAAAATTCTCAGGAGTTTAGGAGGAGTGAAAAAAATTCTCAGGAGTGTCCATTATCAACTGTCGCGTAGTTTTTTTTTAAAAAGAAAAATAAAATATGAGCTGAGGATAACAACGTTGCAATCTGATGTCCGCATTATACGACTTCAGCCATCAGTCTCTTTTATTCTTGCATCAAGATCCTTGGATTAGTTGATGTGTGGAAAGTTTATCGTAATAATTGATCAAATTTTCTTTAATTTGTTGTCTTTGAAATGATGCTTCTTGATGGCAAAACCAAAAGAAAATCGGTGGGCATTCAAAAGTCACTTCCTCCAGAATGTCGACTCCAGCTATTGTTTTCCCAGATTTAGATATCTTGAAGTGACCCCATGCGCGCACTGGAAAAGAATTTCGTATCATTATTAATTTTGTTCTAGGAACAAGCCTTGGTGGAATTTCTGCTTCATAATGTTTTTAATAATTCAATTTCCGTTCACATCCCTGTTCTTATTGTTCGTTGAATTGAAATTTCAGTGAGTTCCTGAAAAACTTCAATATTTTCCTAACACTCTCCTTTAATTTGCTGATTGAGCATAGCAGTTCCAGAATATCCATCTTATTGGGTTAAAAATTATTTTGACGAATTGATAGCCTAGGTAAAAAATTAGGCATCTCAGATTGTGATGTTGTAAGTCTCCGCTCATGTTTTAGTTTTTAAAAGCAAACCAACCAACAATTTCTATTGAATTTTTATATTAATTTTTTTTGGTCATTCTTTAAAAATCACACAAAATTACAAAGTAGGAAAAATTTGGACTAGTTTTCTTCGTAGAAAATAAAATGCTATAGGAGATTTTCAAACTTTGCTACTGAGGTGCACATTTTTTGCATCCAGCCACCAAAATGATTGGTAAAACATTCTAAGCGAAGCAATTCCTAGGCCATGTTAATTTTTATAATGGCCCTGGGTGAACAAGCAATTATTAAACACATTTTTTGAATGATTGAAAAATGTATGTTCCAGCAAAAAAGAACTTTTGTCTAATCTTAAAATTATCAGCCTAAATTTACCTCTCTCTTATTTTAGTCCCCATCTGTAACAGTTTGAGCCTAACCTCCTTTGGAGTCTGGCATTAAATGGACCGATTAAACCAGAATCTTTTTTTTTTCTTCTTTAACAGAGAACGGAACCTTTTCATACCTATAAATTCTCTGTGAGTTAACATAAAATCATGAAGAAGTTACCCTCTAAAGCTTCAAGTTCCAGTGTTGTGTTTTTTTCTATTTAAATAATGAAGCATCAGAGAAAATTAGGCTCTGTAGCTCAGCTGATCTTAGTTAAATCCATCCCAATAACAATCTTGTACTTCTTCGACTGCATTGTTTGAATTGTACATTATTCAGAAAATAATTTCTTACCACAGTACACTGAGTGAAAGAAACATGTTGTGTGAGTAGAGGCAATGGTATAATGATCGTTCTCCTCTTTTTTCACATGAAAATCTGCTGTGATAGTATTTTGTATGCTCGGAGCATTGTGTAGAAACTCAGAATATCTTACTGTGTAACTCCAGTCATTTTGAGGTCCTCCATCGGATATTATCTCAAAATCAATGCTGAAAGACAAAAATCAATAATTACATATCAAAGGCTTTCCATTTATATAAATTCTCTCTAATTGCATTCCTTTTTTTTTTCATTTATTCAAAAGATGAATCATGAATGAATGCATCCAAATGCTAATTTTGAGATCATTGATTGGAAAGTAGTCGGTATTTAGTCACTTAAATTGGGATGCAGATCAATTTTCTCGAAACAAAATTTTTTCATCAGAAACTCTCATTGAGCAAGCTATTATTCATGTAACGGGAAGTTATTGTTTTGGATTAAACTGTTATCATTATCAAAACTCTATTTCACATTTTTTTCAAAACTATCAGTCACACACAAAGAAAAAACTTAAAATGATGTGGAACACTAAAGTTTCCAGTACAGGTAACTGAACTTAAGTTGCTGTGACTGAAGTTTTTTAAAATAGGAAGCTAAGCCAGTTTAAAAAACAGGAAGGCTGAGAACTTCCTAGTCTGTGCTAGGGCTGTTCTATTGGTTGTCGGTAAGGTACCGAAACAGTTCTGTTAAGAAAATGTTACGATCAAAGTGCTCTTACCGATAGCGATCTGAGTTTTCGGAGCAAACGGAAATAAGCTGTTGCCATGTGCACATCTATTTTACGCGCCTCCGCGCCAGGCAATCTGACAGACTGACACAAGGGGCAACAATGCATTGAGTGCGAGCTCTCAAAATTACGCGAAGGCTGGCTGTTAACAATATCATCGCAACTGTCGGTACTGCCACTAATATCAGTTTAAGACAATACTGATAGTGTTCAGGCAAGAATTTGTTTGAACACCCCTAGTCTTGTCCGGTGAAATTGAAAATTAGATAGAAGCTCTGATCATGACCTCCTGCGAAGTGCGTAATCTACTCCCGCGCAACTAACAAGATCCAAGGAATTCGTGTTGAAGTAAAATCACCCCAACACCATACTTTCGCGGGTTCTTTCCTCAATTTTTTGTGTCGTTTTATAGTGGTTTTTGCTTCTTGGGCTACCATTATCCGTAGGTAATCTAACTGCAAATAAAATGTTAGAAAATTTTCATATTTTATGACGCAAGAAGCGCGATAAAAATAACAACAAAATTAGCCAAAAATAACATCGAGATCAGCCAAAAAATAACATCGAGATCAGCCAAAAAAATAACATTGATAAGTTCCATTGTCTACTCATGGAGGCCGTATGTACATCCCTTTTTGTACCAGGTCTCATTTTATAATGAAAATAAACTCAGAAAGAGGAACACTTACATAGTAGGATTCAGCGTCTTCATGTTGTTAAAATCTGCAAGGAACTCCCAAACAATAGCTGGGTCTGATAAGGACTGTAGATACGTGTGCTCCGAAATCTTGAATGTTCTCAAGCGTAAGAGGATATAAATCAGGATGATTCCAACTCCGTATTTTACCAGATTCAACCACCTTAGCCCATTGCGTTTGATAAGTTTGAGCGGCAAGAGTGGAGGTAGGCCCTCTGATTTTACCTTTGCCACACCTGAAGATCCTGGAGACATCTGGAAGAAATATTATGAAGAAGCAGGGTTGCCACAGTCAAGGAATGCCGGGAAATGTCAGGGAATTTTAAAAAGTCAGGAAAAACTGAGAAATGTCAAGGAAAATTCGTTAAATCACCTTTATTTGCTTTCTGGGATGGGTTTAAGGTTTCGAATAACAAATTTTGCCTGAATACTATTTTCAATCATGAATGTCTTCTTAACCTTCTATCACATCTTAAATTGTCAGGGAATTTCACCAAAAATATGTCAGGGAATTTCATTTTCCGAATTCTGTGGTAACCCTGAAGAAGTATTTCGACACTCTAACTCCAAATCACGTATTTCGGTTTGCGACGTTGCAGACTTCCTATCATACTTTGTCTTTTGAATGGAAAACTATCCAACGTTAATCCTGTAAAATTTCCGTGATTTTTCCTCTTTGTGCGAAGAAAATTCTGTGAAAACTTAAAAGAATGATTTCGATTTGTTCTCCTTCAAAAAAAATTAAATTCGAGTAGATTTTAAAACACCGCAAATGAGACACGTGGTTTGAGAGTTTCACCGTCGATTTTATTCCATTTTTGTTTTGGAATGTAATCAATCAGTACCATCGATCAGTTTTTCTATCAGTCTCTTGCCCAAGCTTGGGTCTGAGGACCAGTTTTCGTGAAAAAAGCTGATTTTCTGGCATTCGCCCGCTAATCCGCTAAACCAGCATTTTTCGCCAAAATCGATGTAAAACCCATATTTCAGCCAGTATTAGACCCGAGAAGAGGTCGAAAGGGGCCAAATCATGACGTATTCCATAAAATATAGCCCTTCAATGAGTGAAAAACCAGTTCAGGGTGGGCCCAAAAACGGCCACTATCGATACCCCTCCTTTGCGAGTTTTGAATCTTTCTCTTTTAACAGCCTTTCTCCTAGGGGAGGTTTTTGTACCGCATCAGTTTTAGTGGGGCAATAAATTCGTTCTAAATTAGACGATTTCGAGGTTCCGCCGCCAATCGGCCGTGATGCAGCTTTGCTCGCTATCTTGCTCAGCTGAGATAAATACATCCTGCTGTATCCAACTCGCAAGAGCTGTCTGCACTGAGGAAAAGTTTTCCTGGTCACTTGGTTAGCACGTTTCTGCAGCAAGCACGATTTCATGATCGATTGGCGAATCCATTATTTGTCATGCAGAGAGTGTCAAACATCAGGATTTTCCCGATTCTATAAGGACTGGAGGTCAATTAGGATTTAATGCCGATTTCATCAGGATTTGAGGAAAAATCAGTCGTAAAATCAGGATTTGAGAAAAGTCGGCCGTCCGAAACTCTAGAGTTCTGCTTTCGCATACGCTTATGCAAAAATTTTAATTTTTCTCCGCAAAAAATCAGGATTTGGAAAAATTATGAAATCAGGATTTAGCAGTCGAAAATCAGGAAGAATCAGAATTTCCTCAAATGAAAAAAAAACTAGACACCCTGAAAAGGGTTGCCACGGTCAGGGAATACCGGAAAATGTCAGGGAATTCTCAAAAGTCAGGGAAAATGACGAAAATATCCGGGGAAAATCGTCAAATCACCTTCATTTGCTTTCTCGAGTGGGCTTAACGTTTCGGAATTTTTTGCTTCATGCCTTCGTAATTTATCTATAGCTCTTTTTCAGTTTGATTAACCACTTGAACCGTCCTATTTTCGTGCAAAGATGCCCAATGGATCGAGTCAATTAAAGAGGTCGGACATGAAATTCTTAACTAAAACTGCAAATTGTGATGTTTATTCGTCAAATTTTAAATTTTTGAGCAGTGATTTTTATAGAAAATTTTACAAGAAAACCAATGGTACCATTTAAGGCCTCGGGATTTTGTAAAATGGAGTTATGAGCTTCGCAAGTTTCAAAATTTTGTCCGACTAATCCCATTGGCTCGACCACTGTGCGACGACACGACGTATGAATACAATGAGCGACACATTTTGTCATCACAAGCTAGACGATTCAAGCCGCTCCGACTTTTCAATCGGCAAAGTCTGCATGCAACTATTCGTGTTCTCGGGAGGTCCGTATTGCATACGCTAAAAATTGCAGGCGCTCTGCCTTTCTTGAGCATAACGTATGGCTGGCCTTGTTGGTTCCCAAGGGGTTTCTACGTTGCATTTAAAATGGCGTCTATCAACAAATCTTAGAAATTCAGATGAGTCGTGCCACATCACAGCGTTGCCAAATGTGGCAAATCACGGACATTCTATCGGTATTCGTTGTGCCACGATGTTTTTGTGGACGTGTTTTTGGTGGAAAATTTGCGCCATTTGGCAACGCCATTGTGATGCAGCACAACTCATCCTAATCTCAGAGTTTATGTTAAACGCGATTGTAAATGGAACGGATTTAACAGAAAGGAACCAAGCCACATCAGCTATTGCCAAATTTAAGTGGGCAATTTGACTTTTTATAACAGAACGATCGTGAGGATTTGTTACAGAATTTTAAGAAATTTGCTTCGTACTCTGGAGAAAATTCACTGAAAGTTGCACGAAAATCCGCATTATAGTATGGTGTCCAAATAACGAGAAAATGTTTACCACCTAGGAGGATATCCTTAGTTATCGAGAAAAGTTCAACAACAGTTGACAACTTAAATACTGTGTATTTCTTATAGGACAGTTCCTTTTCAATCGAAGTAACCTCCGTTTCAAACTCATGTTTAAACGGGTTTGTGGGGGAAATTAAAAAAAAAGTGTCCTGATCACTAATATCTTAACAATATTTGGAAAATTTGAAAGTCGATTTTCAATTTTTGTCCATGGACTGCCGCACTGTGGACGATCTCAGCACGCAGCCGTACGTTATGCCCAAGACAGCCAGAGCGCCTGCAATTTTTTGTGTATGCAACGCGGACATCCCGCGAACACGAATAGTTGCATCCAAACCTAGCCATTGGAAAAGGAGCGCTTTCAATTTTTTCCGCTTGTTATAACAATGTGTCATTCCTTGCTTTCGAATGATGTAGTTGTATAAAAATAGTTTGGCTCAAGTATTTAATGAATATTTTATCCAATTGAATAAAAAGGAATGAGTAACTTACTAAACTTAGTCTATGGCCTCGAGTTTTATTTCGAAAAAATCGCGATTGATTGTCCGGCGATAAAAGCGCGATTCTATCGCGATAAGATCGAGGATAATCGCTCAGACGTTGATGATCCTGGCTATATATACAGCGATTTTTCCGTTGAGAAATGCTACTTGGGTTAAGGCACATTTTCTTTTTTTTTTTTTACTTAATCACTTAATTACCGTGAAACTCACCGCTAATACGTCTGTTGATCCGCTCGTGAATCCTTACTCATTGTTTGTTCCACAAAGAAATTAACTCTAGATAACCTGAAAAGATTCACTCCACTGATTATTACTGTGAAGAAAATCCTTTGTCTTCTCGTTCTAAAAATTATAATTCGGCTATTGCTAGTGTCGCCCCGTTAAAAGAATACGAATTCGACTGCTTAACGCGTGGAGCGAGCAGACAGGTCCCCTGATTGTGAATGGTCAACACAAACTGATATGACGCCATGTCACTTCGGAGCTGTATCATTCTTGTGCCGAAGCGTCAGCCATCAGCTATAGATTTTTTCTCGTTTGAAGCTATGTGAGGAATCGATTTTTAAGGCGTAGCCAACGCACCGATAATCGATCCTTTCGCATAGGTTTAAATGGCAGATCAATCGATTTATTGCAAAGCACGACCAGCCGTGGCGAAGCGCACAGCACCAGCTATCGATATTTTCCCATTTGAAGCCATGGCAAAGAATCGATTATCGAAGAATACCCCAATTATCGATCCTTTCTCGTAGGTTCAAATGACAGATAATTCAATTCATCGTATCGTACGACGCGCAGTGTGAATAATCGGCTATCGATATTTCCTATGAGATGCCATGGTAAAGAATCGATATTGTGGATAATCGATTCTTTTCCAAAGCTCTAATTGGCAGATGAATCGATTTATCGCAAAGCACGTCTTCTCGCTGCATCACAAATCAGTCGGGTCAGCGTAAAGCGTCGGATATGTGCAAAGTTACCAGATTGGGAAATTAAATGTAGATATTCTTCATGTGATTTAATGTGGGAAAGTGCTGATTTTTCAGCACTACCTGGCAACTCTGGAAGCCTGACGTTTCCTTCTCTTCTCGGGGATGGGGAGTGTTTGTATTAAAAATCATTATATCAGTGTCGAACTGAATATATTTGAGTACATTATTTCTGAATGTTAGGCCCCGAGTGCCCTTTTTAACTTTCAAATGATTCCCGAGAGGTTTATTTCTGTACGAAGTCACGAGGCGATTGCAATGGTGTCAAGGGAATTCGACTTATTGTTAGCCATCTTCTTCTCCCATTTTCTGGTGTTATACTCGATGCTGCCGTGCTAAGGAAAAACGCCGTACGAACCGTCAGACGTTGCCAAATTTCTTTTGATGAAACGCGCATTTTTGAGAAAACTTATTAATATTTTTTTGCCAATTTTTCCGATAATTTTGTTCACAATTTAATCTAAAGATTTCGCAAATTTCAAAGAAAAATATTCATGAATTCCCTAAAAATAAATATTTTATCGGAGGAAATTTGGCAACTCTCGAATGTTCATAAGGCGCTTTTCCTTAGCGCGGCAGAATGGGTCAGTGGCTCCCATTTTCAATTTATTGCCTGAAATCATGGAGGGAACTTAATAATTTCTCGGAATTTTTCAGATTTTTTTAACCCTAAATCCCAAGTAGCATTTTTTTAACGGAAAAATCGCGTTATTTTGAAATTAAGCTGCGATGTTTTTTGCTGAAAAACTATTTTTTATGCCTACAAAAATTTCTTGCCATTGCCCCATTACCGCTCAGGGCCAGATTCACCTACTTGCCGCCCATGGGCCGCCTATATTTTGCCGCCCCATTCTCATTCGTTTTGAAACTCGATAAAAGCCATCAAATGAACGTGCCAGCGGGGGAGGGGTGCATAAGGCACATTTACTCGTGTTGAACATATTTTTTGGGAAAACCCTGTCAACACTACTAGCAAAAGTTCACGAAACTTTGCGCGAAAGTTAAGTTCCGTAAACCTATCTCTGCGTGGACAAGGCCTTCCATTCATAAGAAATGAACGAAAAAATTATGGAAGAACAAACATAAATGTGGTTTAATAATTTTAACTTCCGCCGCCGCGCCGCGCAAACCGCAATGTGTTGGACGCAATGCGTGAAGTATTCACGCAGTCTTGTAGGCGCTATGCGTCTCACGCTGATCACACTGTGTTTGCCGCAATGCGTGAGGTATTCATGCATTCTTGTAGGCGCTATCCATTTCACGCTGTCCGCAATGACCGCACTGTATTTGATACAATGCGTGAAGTATTCGTGCAGTCTTGTAGGCGCTAATATGTGTTACATGCCGATCGCCGCGCCGAGGGCTTCTCCTTTTCATCTCAAGTCCTCGTCATCATTTCTCTCTAGGTAAGTTGCGCCGTTCCAGGCCAAATTGCGTGTTCGGTCTCTCTCTTAACTCGAATTATTGAGGGTGCTGTCTCTTGTATCACTAAGAGACGAAAAAATTTGAAATCACTATTCTCTCAGGAGATGAGAGATTTTGTCGCCTTTTCTCGTTTGTATTTTTGTTTTTATAAATCCGATTTTTTTTTATACCTACACTTTAAAAAATTGCAAAGAGCTTGATGCAAAAACGGCTTTTTTCGCCCCCCTCTGGAAGTTCTTCAGACTTTGTCTATTGATTACTCATACTTGAGCGCTTCTTTTACCAAATTTTCAGACCCCCAAAAAATTTTGGGGGGGAGCTAGGGGGGGTGGAAGTCAAAACCTGTGAACCTCGATATCTCTTGAACAAAGAAAGATATCGAGGTCCGGTTTGGACGAAAAATCGTCTAAAATTGCATACTTTATGATTCTAAAGGTCAAAATCCCGATATCACATTTTTAAGTCAACATATGTGCTTTTTTCCAGTTTTTAGGTCTAGAAAATTTCTTTTAAACGAAAAATTTACAAAGATCTCAATTTTTTATTGGAACCAAAACCAGTTTTTTAAATTGTTCGTCTTTTTTCGCATCCAACGAGTGGTCCATTAAGCTGGGGAACCGAACGGTTCCGGAGTTATGATCGATTGAAGTTTCCGCTCAACGCGCGCCGACCGATTTTCGCGCGCAAAAAAGTCGGATTTGACTGTTATTAGATCAGATTGAATGTTCAAACCGAGCAAAATGCTTTATTAGGGACTCTTGAGGGTCGCTGAGTTCAGAAATTACCGATACTTCCAAAAAATTCACGTTTTTAAAGTTACAGCTCCGCAGCGCTATTTTAGAGGCCCACTGAGCGCCGACCGGCGCTCAGTGGTCCTGTCCGAAGCTGCAATTTTAAAAACGTGAATTTTTTGGGAGTATCGGTAATTTCTGAACTCAGCGACCCTCAAGAGTCCCTAATAAAGCATTTTGCTCAGTTTGAACATTCAATCTGATCTGATAACAGTCGAATCCGACTTTTTTGCGCGCGAAAATCGGTCGGCGCGCGTTGAGCGGAAACTTCAATCGATCATAACTCCGGAACCGTTCGGTTCCCCAGCTTAATGGACCACTCGTTGGATGCGAAAAAAGACGAACAATTTAAAAAACTGGTTTTGGTTCCAATAAAAAATTGAGATCTTTGTAAATTTTTCGTTTAAAAGAAATTTTCTAGACCTAAAAACTGGAAAAAAGCACATATGTTGACTTTAAAATGTGATATCGGGATTTTGACCTTTAGAATCACGAAGTATGCAATTTTAGACGATTTTTCGTCTAAACCGGACCTCGATATCTTTCTTTGTTCAAGAGATATCGAAGTTCACAGGTTTTGACTTCCACCCCCCCTAGCTCCCCCCCAAAATTTTTTGGGGGTCTGAAAATTTGGTAAAAGAAGCGCTCAAGTATGAGTAATCAATAGACAAAGTCTGAAGAACTTCCAGAGGGGGGCGAAAAAAGCCGTTTTTGCATCAAGCTCTTTTTGCCGCCATGGGCCGCGGCCCATGTGGCCAACCCCTTAATCCGGCCCTGGGTGAATCATGTTACATTTTTTTATTCTTTTCAAAAATGAATAATATTTTGATTGATGTGTTTCTAGTCACGCCGAGTATGGAGCTGAAACCAAACTGTGGTAGTGATCGCGCTTGGGTCTGGTCGGTCCGAGCCGATTATGCCGATGAAGTAATGTGCCCTGAGCTGTTAGCCATTCGATTTGCCAATGCAGAAAGTAAGTAGCATTTTCTTTTAATTTCCACTCACAAGATCAGTAGAAATGTAGAAGCTTCTCAAAAAAAAAAAAAGAAAAAAAAGCCTACAATTTTATGAGTCCTGAAAATTTAAAAGATGTATTTTCTGTGTCCTACTATAAAGTAGTCTTGTTTATATTGTTTCGTTTTTAGCTTGCTTTCTTGTATTATCATTACCTATTATTTATGTTTATTTTTATTTCTCTTTCTAACCATTTTTTTTCTTATGTAATATTGTCGGTTACATGATAAGTAAAAATTTTTAAAGACCTGTAAGGTCTGAAAATATGATGTAAAAAAAATCAAGCTTACTCAAACTCTCACATTGACCTGCCTTCTTTCAGAGCCAGGCCTCCAACTTCACATTTTCAAGCCTAATAACATCTGAATTATGTGAGAACTCTTGCCAGGATTTTACTGCTTTGTGATGACACAAGGTTTCCAGTGGAGGGGAATATGCAAGGCATTAAAATTTGCAAAGCAAACCATGTAAAACGCAAGGAATTAGGGAGTAAATCTTGAAGAAATAGAAAATCTGGCCTCTTAATTGTTTAAATCGTCAAATCTGTCGTTTTCTTGATTCAAATACATGGTCCTGGTAGGAAAGACAGAGAGTTTAGGATTCTGATAACGTATTCAATACTGACAGTAACTCTCAACTCAAGTGGACCGGGTGCATTTGACAATAAAGAACTATTAGTTCTGGTTCATCCATAAAACCATGTATCTGCACACAGAAGAGGTCAGGAACATATGTTGTTTCTATAATGGATAAAAAATAGTGTATGGTTCCTTTTTGCAAAATTTAATCCAATTGTCTCATAACTATGGCGCACCACCTTTGAAGGATTTTATGTTTCTCCTTCTTCTTTTTACTATTAAATTTTAACACAGTTTATTTATTTTTTTGTCTTTCAGATGCCAAAAAATGGTACACCACGTTTGAAGAAGCGAAGCAAATAGTTGCCACTCAGTGCGACCTTTATAACAAATCACTGGAAGGTAAATTATTTCCATCCATTATTCTTCAATTATTTCTCCATTATTCCGTTATCTTTTTTCCCCTTTTTTCTTTTTCTCTTGGTTTCTCTCTTTTTTTCCCCAGTTTTGTAAAATTTAACTTGACGGATTAAACCGGAGGAAGCGTAACTACATCAGATCTTTGATTTTCTCTTTTGTTATTTTTTTTTTTAAACAGAAAACTGAGCAACTAGAATTTTTGTGAGTACATTCTTTTTAATTTATGGTAAATCCACGGAAAGTTTAAAGTTGTAAAGTAGTTTAATTTTCTGGTATAAAAAAAAAAAAAAAATAAATAAATTGGAGAAAATCAAGTAACATATAATGCAGTTAGATAGGTTGATTCTGGTTAAAGCCAGCAAATTCATAACAGTCAAGTTAAGCACTGAGGAAAGTGCGCTCTGTCAGTGTGAAAATAAACAGAACTGTTCGCATATTTTTATCAGTATGTAATACATATTGATAAGTCTTAACTGTCAAAAATCTCAATTCCGTTTTTTTGAACCCAACTCCACAAAAATCACTCCTGTGGAAAAGTTTCCTCTGGGCTTTGAGGTTCGTTCTCTCTTGAAGGATCAAATATTATCAGTGGAATCGTGAAAACATGTGTATCCTGATGGATGGTAGTGTCTCAAAATTTCTGATCTTAACATATTTTTTAAACCAAATTACATAATAAATTCTTTCTATAGGTAATTTCATTGTAAAAGACTTTCTGTGTAAGATTTCCTGTAAATACTTTTAAAAGAGTCAAAGAAAAATTTCAATTTTCTTCTTCTTTTTTTCCCAGATTTAATCAGAATCAGCTTAATTGCATTTCATGTTGCCCAATTTTTATCTTGTTTCATTTTTTTAAACTACTCAATCCCTTTAAATTTCCTTTGAATTTAGGATTAATTTGCTTAAATCCGTCAAATAGACCATCAGACGAGGTATGAATTGAAGCACTCTGACATTTGGCTCTGCTTCAAAATTTCACATAGAACGCAATTTGCGCAACACAAGTGACTGAAATTAATGCCCAACTAAAATATCATTGTTTTTATTCAGCATTGGTCATGAATAATTAGAATTTCTTGCTTACATGAAAAACCATAGTCTACTTAAATCAAATCACGAACTACAGCGGCTTTGGCAGGCTTTTCAATAAGCAGTGTTCTTTCCCTGCCTTTTATTGTTGAAAGTTAAATAATGTGCAATATCTGATTGTGAGCCAAATCGCCGATATTGAGGTTGTCATATTTTCCTACTGGCACGACTGTCATGGTAACGTTTGAGGTGCGATTTAACTCAAGAAGATTATGGTTTTCCCATGAGTGGAACGTCTAAATTGATGCTTCGAAAAACGTTGACCTGTGCCAGGAGTTACTTTCAGTACTTTTTGCTGTCAAAATCAAGCTCTTCGTCAATATTTGATGAGAAATCATGTATCATAATGCCTAAATGTGGCACGTTGTCTAGTGGTCTATTAGTCTCGCTTCAAAAATGTAAAATGCCACAGAGAATCTGCAATGTTGCAGGCAGGAAGTTTTGCTGTGAATATGCGTGCATGTAAATTGAGCATTATTTTCACCTAATTTTTTTTTCATTCTAGAACTGATCAATCAAGACGAGGACAACAGCGGAGACAGCAGTGATGACACAAGCGACTCGCTAAGCGATGATGATGGGAGCGATGAGAAAACCAAACCAGCAGAAGAATCTAAAGATACCGACGACAAGTGTGATCCAGACCTCAATCAAGCAGTAGAAAACCTTCGAATAGACTCCAAAACTGATAAAGCTGAAGATTCCAAAGTGTCTGAATCCCAAGTTTCAGAACCTAAGGCGGACGTTTAATCTTCCTACTTTTGCTTTCTCCGTGATCCCACTTTTGTTTAAGTTAAGAGGCTAGTGATGTTTGCATTTTTACTCAATCTTCTTAATTTCAAGCAAAGCTTCTCTCTCTATAATAAGTTTTTGTTTAGAATCTTTTTAGAATTTTTCTAGAGTTTCCAATGTTTCCTTTTTTCTCAGATTTCTTCTTAATATCATTGAGGAAACTCTGAATTATTTTAGCTCCCATTCACAGGCCATTTGAACAGCTTCGAAGTAAAGCAATAATTTTTTTCCATCCTAGAGTTTGTAATAAAGAAAATTCACATCAACAACAGTGAGTTAAGGATTTCTTTCCTTTTTTAAGAAATAAATATCTGTATGGTCCAAATTGGCCAGTGATTACCCCTCCATTTGCATGGTGTTGATATCTTGCCATGAATCCATTTTAGCGCTTTTTGTATTGTCTCAATGTAAGGTTGCAAACTTTAATATCGAGCTTTATTTAATTCTGTATCTCTTATCCCAGTCTCGCAACAAAGCAAATACTTCATTGTCTAATTTGATTTTCCAAAAACAAAGTTATATCAAGTACCAGAAAAAATGTCTGGACTCCTCCGAAGCTGTTCAGCCTTGGACTCGGGCTTATAACCTCAAAATTCTATCACTCTCTGCGCTATGGTCATCGCTAAATAAGTTCAAACACTCAATAAGTGGAATAGAAAATCCGTTATCTTGATTCTTGTATTTACTTATTCTTCTAAACAGAGGATGACAGATCTTCTGTCGTAGTCCAAAAGTGTTTAAACGTATTTGGCGGAGTATCATCTGTATAAGTTCTTCCAATAATTTTTTGACCACTAGAGGCTGCCTTGAAAAGCTGTATCGCGGACGAAAGAGCACATCTCGATTGCGCTGCTTCAGTGTTGCTTACTTACATTTTACTTTTTCATAAGAGGACTTTCGTATGAATTTTTCTGCAAATTCCTAGGGATTTTTCTTTATCTCTAAGAGATCAAACTCTTGAAAAATAAAATGTTTGTAGAAATACTGAAACAGCCCAGATGTTTCCTCGTGCGGGAGATGACGAAATGTATGTAAATGAATCTTGCATCGTCTGTGGAGGGAAAAATAATGAGGAAACGAGTATTTGTATTTCCACAGTCAAATTTAAAATGTTTAACGATCAAAAAATGCATTTTACATACTTCAAAGTGTTTATGAGTAGGGAACAGCACCTGCATTTTCCAAACTTCAATGAGCTTAAAATTATTTTTGATTAATACTCAGCTCGTTCTAAAATTGATGATTTATACTCTTCGAATTATTTCACACCTCTTCAGCCATGCAAATCATTTTCAAAAGACTGAAAAACCAAAAATTTTCCTTTGCGACTTTTGTAACGACTTTGCATTTTTCCCCAAACTACGGTGGGCCTCTAGGCAAGGTATTACAGGACAAAGATTTTTAAGACTTAAGATTTTAAAGGGATATGAAGTAACATTTTTCTGTAATTCAGACCTTGTCTAGTTGCCCATACTGTTTTTGGCTCCTACTATTCGTCATTTCTCCCACAAAAGAATGTACATTCAGTTCAATAATGTCAAATTCCCCCAATTTATTTTTACCAGGAGAGTTTTTTTTGGACAAATCTGACTGAAAATTTCACTGATTTTTCTCCTGATCTCACGCAAAAAGCAGTCAAATTTTAAACAAAAATTGCACCGGCTTATTCTTGTAAAAAATTGAATTGTTGGAGTCAATTTTGCATCCTCGGAATGGAGTTACGTTCCTTCGTCCGCGAACAATGAATTTTTTTTAATTCCTTTTTTTACTCCTCAGTCATTTAATCTAATAATTTGACCGTAAGAATGTGCTCTAATTGATGAATTCTAAGACTAGCGATTCTTCTCTGGAATCTATTTGTGGCATTTTGTGAGTAAGCAATTTTGATTTCCTCCTTGAGAGTAATTTTACTTGCGTTGTTTCTGATCTTCACTTCTAGTGTAGCTCCTCCAACTATTGTTAATGAGAAAATAACATTTTAGGTTACAAATGCATTACGTTGCATTCTAAAGACTTCATTTAAAGTCACCATCGTTTTTTCAAATTAAATTTTAAGATAAGGTGCAAAATGATCCGTAAATGAGACTACGTCTTCAATCACGTATGAAGTTATGTGCCATAAGGAAATTGATTCACTTAAGAATGTAAATTGATTTTCTGAGTGTCTACAGGGTTAGGGAAAATATTTCTCTCAGGCCAATAAAAATGCAAGAAAGAAATTTCATCAAAATTACCAGAATCCCCCCATCATCCCTGATGTCTCTCTATCAAGTTTTTACAATTGGCTGAACAAATAGTTCACTAAATTATAACTTGGATGAGGTAGATTGAAAAATTTAAAACTAAATAATTATCGTCGAACAAACCTCTTTCGATGCATATTGGTCCATCGATAATCAGAAAGGTCCAAGAATGTTTTCCTTCAATGTTGTGAACACTCGGTATTTCTACTATAGCCACTTATGTCCAATGACTGGTCATCATATCATCAATTGCAGTTGTTTAAAGTACCATAAGCTTTGATATTTAATCGTCCTAACCAGTTTTCTATCTGTTTGCAAGTGGCATTCAATAATGGTCCAAATCAGTTTAGAAGTGGGGATTTGATGTAAGCAACGAAAAATCCTGGTGATTTGACGAAAAAATGGTTGGCTCTTAATTCAGTCACTCTTTTCTTTTATACCTGTTGTATTTTATTGAAATATTGATCTTAGATTAAAGTTACCTTCCTTTTAATTTCTCCCAGAGACCATATTAAAAACATCTAAAATTTGAAATTCAAGTGGCGCTGAATTTCTATGCGTTTACCAGAGTCTCTTTTTCCCAAACTAGCAGGGAAAACAATTACTATTTAAATGTGTGATAATTTTAAAACTTTTGTACATACTAATCAAATAATTTCTCATTTTATTTTGTGCCTTATCGTCTCAATTCATTGGTTTTGGAAGAAAGCTTAAGACAAACGCAAAGGCTCTTTTGAGGAAATCCACCCAGGTGATTTCGAGAGGAAATCATCGTTCTATGGTACCCATCACATTTTATTTTACTTTAAGGCAACCTTTAAAGTGTTTATTTTTATCCTGTGACTAGTAATAGTTGATATTTAAATAGATTTTGAATAAGTATCCACTTTGTCTTATTAATTTTACCCTCTTGCTAATCTTGGACGGGGATGAAATAACACCCTGGCGAAGCTTTTTCAGGCCGTGTCTACAGGTCTGGAAACTTGGCATCTACAGGGAATTCCGTCTGGTTAGGGGAATATAAGGGAATATCCTGGAAAAGACTTGAAATTTGAAATCTGAAGAATCCTCCACTGTTCTTAGAATCGAATGAATTCTCAGTGCTCTGAGGTACCCTGTGAACTCATCTGCCGTGCAAAGGAAGAACACTGTATGAACATTCGAAAGTTGCCAAATTACTTGTGATAAAATGTTTATTTTTCAGAAAAGTTATGACAACTCCTTGAAATTTTCAGGAACTTAAGGTGATGTAACGAACAAAATTATCTGAAAAATAGGGAGGAAAATATTCATACATTTACCAGGAAATTCGCGTTTTATCAAAGAAAATTTGGCAATGCCTGAAAGTTCATATGGCATTTTTCCTTAGCACGGCAGTCATGTTGAACGGGGGACAAGGGTAAAAAATGCCGGAAAAGTGCGTCATGTATTTTATGGACGGCCCCTAATGTCAAATACTTCTTTATGCAGAGACAACAGAGTAGTTCGGACACGAGAAGAGAAAACTTAGGTCTAAAACATTCTTAATAAACTTCAAATATTGTCGAACATCCATGAAACTATTTGAATGTTTTTTGTAAGACCGTGAAAGATTCTTCCCATGTGGCAGCGACCAAAAATAAGGTTACGAAAGTGTTAGTGCAACGTTATTCTTTTGGCCGCAAAATTGTGATTTTTGTTGCAAGCATCTGCCAGGCAAGTTTGAATGTTCTTGATTTCAACTTGGAAAAGCTGGCATGAATCCTGTCTCTATGGGCTTCGCCTTAAGGCGGCCTCCTGAACTTTCGATACATTTCTTTAAGTTCTGTGACCTTTTTTTTGCGGCTACTTTAAGGGGTTAAGAACTCTAGCATATTTTTGTTCATTTGTTTAATCTGATGCCATATTGTGGATTGAAAATTTTGTTTCTCTTTTTTTTAATGTTTTTTTTTTACTGTTCCCTATAGGCCCCAACTACAGATACAAAGAGAAAAATTAATTTTTAAAAGCTTTGAGCTTGTAAGTAAAGGATTTTTTGAACTCAAATTCTAACTGAAAAAAAGAACCCTCCAATTTATCGGCCTAAAATTAATATTGATGTATAAGTAGATCACACTTTCAACATTAATTTGGAGAGGGGGGGGGGCTGTCCACGTCTTTAATTTCAACTTGAAATTTTGAAGGTGCCCATTTTAGTGGTGGGGTTGACACACCATTGTGGTGTGTCAAAGGTAGATTATATCGTGTCACTCATATTTTCAAATTGATTTCAGTCCAATTTGTAATTTTTTATGAGCGTATCCAATTAAAACACCCGATTTTTCAGTATTTTCGAGACAGTTTTTGGGTCGGGACCATCTTGGCAACGGGTGAGCAGGAAAGTCCCGGGCACCAAATCGATAAGAATTTAAAATTACGCGGTCGTAGGGCCTGCCACAATCAGACGTTCTGCCAACCAATGACAACATCCTTATTTTCAAAGTGTCACCATAAACTCTAGTTCCATCGAAGTTTTTGTCAAATTTTTATGAAATTCTGAAAGTAATTGATCAAATAAGCATTTCCATAAGAAATAAATACCCTTTCAACACTTATATCATCGGTTATTTTTATTATCGCCGTGTCTCCCGGTCACTGCACAGTTGGTAAAATTGTAATAAACAAAACTGCCAGCGCTATCTTTTAGCGAAAAATAAAACGTCATGTATACAACATGTCAAGGCGGATAAAGAATGGTGGTCGCATTTCGATTTTGGCTGCCATCTTGAAGCACTGTGACGTCAGGAGGGTACGGCTTTTGCCATGCAATTCGAGGTTGAGCCGACTCCCCCGGCCTCGGCCGGCCCATGTACCCGATGTACCCGATACCGTGTGACGTCCAGAGGGTACGAAATGCGACCACCATTCTTTATCCGCCTTGACAACATGTGATATCAGTGATATCCACGTAAAATAAATAGTTTTGCCTTACATGTCATTTTTCGTAAATTTTGTCAGCTGTTCATTGGATTCGCGTCGAATTTATTCCACTGATAGTTTCTACGAATTAAGTGATTCTTCATCATCAGTCTACCTCTCTGGAAGTCATCATTTTCACGGTCATTTTATCTTAATTCTTCTCTCAAACACTTAATTGACTAGAACAGAAAAATGAAACTGATTATAGTCATTTTTCTCTCAGGCTCATTATCTCTTTCATTCTCTGCAACCCCGCATTTCGTATCTCATTCCAAACATTGATAAACACCTATCACCTCTCCACTTGTAATCCCAGTGACATTATTCAGCTTGAAATCCCTTAGTTGGTCATTTTCCCATCCTAAGCTCACCCATGGAGCAGAGGGTCACGGGGAACTCTACCCAGTACATCTGGGGAAGATCGTACTTCAGCCCCAATTATGACTTCAGGAAGATCTTCTATGACAAACTGCTCAGTGCGAAGACTTTCTACCAGCGTGATCTCATCGCCCATTTTGGCTGTGTCAATGCAATTGAATTCTCGAAGGACGGCTCCCAGTTAGTGTCTGGTAAGTCAGTTGGTTGAATGTGAAAGTTGAATATTTGTCGAGTGTCACCCATCTCCTCAACTCCCTCAACGTATTCCGCCAAAATATTGATGCCTGACAACAGCTTTTGGGCCGCTTATTCAGTATGATTACAATAACTATCAACATAGTAATCAGGCCCCTTATCAGTGTGAGCTGTCACCTCGAAATTGCAAAGTTAGTAGTTTCCTTACTGTGCCTGTAAACCAACCCAACTGAATAGGAACTCAATCATGACAATCTGTTCTTCGTCACTCAGTTTCATCAGACCTGAACATATGATATCTCTCAGATATCTGTTCAGTGATATCTTGCCCAGTGATATCATTGATTAGGGTCACTGTAGATACACAGCAATTGACTCTAACTGCCCATAATGAGTAATTAATTCTTGTAACCCATTTCCACGATATTTTAGATCATTTTGATTGATAAGCACCAACACTTGCCACTCTCTCAGTTTATAGATGTTGAGGATTCCACCTTCTGATTCCAACCTAAGTTTTGAATCTGGTCATAAAATTTTCCAAGGTTATTTTAGGTCCTCAAGAATAATAGTTTATGTCGAATCAAATCTGACTTATAATACAGAAATATGCAATGCCCACTGAAGAAACATTATCAATTGGTTATTTCAATGCTACAGCTTATGTAGCTCCTTGTCAGGAAGGGGAGGAGGTACCTACTTACAGCGGTTCCTCTTGGCAGACTTTTTGTCCCTCTTAAATGTTACCTTTAAGGAAAGGTAACCATCTTTAATTGAAAATATACACACTTTAATCGTCCAATTCTAAGCTAAGTGATTCAAGAGCGGTGCCATCTGCTTGAAGTAAATTTGCTTCACTTACTACCAGCAGTATTTTGTACACCCTTAGACTGGTTCATGAAAAGGAGATGTTTACTGCTTGAAAAAGAAAAACTAAAATTGTGGAAGGAAAGATACAATCAGATGGATTCATTCTGAAGGCCCTGTTACAAAAAATATGTTCAAAGAGTTACCAGGCAGGTATGAGGGGCTTCTTTGACACCACTTTCGGGATGGGGGAGGGAGGCCAGTTTTCAAGGAGAACTTAAGACAAATTTCAGAAAACTGACCCACATTTGAATTTAAACTTAAAATTTTGAGATTATCAATGACATGTGTGAAGATTGTTTTAAGAGTTAAAATGTAGTGAAGTAAGTCATCTTAAATTTTAATCCCAAAAAAAAATCTCCAAAAGTATTGGCTCATATTTTTTAACTTACCACTATTTTCAGGGGGTGATGATCGCAGAGTCCTCTTATGGGATGTACAGTCCGCTTTGAGAGGCGAAAACAGTCCTGTTGCAATGAAAACATCACATGTCAGCAACATTTTCTGCTTGGCAATCGATAGTAGAAAGGAGACGATTTTCTCTGGTGGCAATGATGATCAAGTTATAGTTCACAATATCAAAACGTACGTATATTTTTCTCACTTACTTGCAATGTATTCTTGAAAGAAACTGTGGGTGTCAGAAATTATTTTTAATATTCTAAAATTCAGGATTTTTACATAACTTCTAAGATTTAAAGATTTTCCCAAAAAATAAGAACTTTTACTTCAGGGCTAGACAGAAAGAATACAATCAATGATATTCCAGGATTTCCCAAGGCTGTGTAAATCCTGGCTCACATGTAATACTGCCTTTAAGTATTTAGTTAGTATATTCCTCTATCATCAAAATTTGTAATTTGTTGTAAATTTCTCTTTTTATGTCTTTTTTTTTCCTCCAATGTAAGTAGTTTCCAGGCTCTGGTTTTATTAGATGCTTATCTGCAGGGTCTTTAAGTGTGCTGTGAAAACATCAACTTGGCACAAGGATTTTAAGAAGAAAAATTGCATTGCTCTTAAAATCCCTCAAGAACATGCCAGAGCCTTAGGAAAAATTATTGTATTTTCAGGTGGAATATTTTTAAAAACTTGGCAGAATTCCTCAATCACAGTTGAATTTCATTTTTTTGACCGTATGAATTCCATAAACAGACTTTGATTGCAAAAATTTTTGCTATAAAAAAGAAAAAATAAAAAAAAAATACTGAACACTAACAAAGACTTCGCTTGAATACCTTGCTGGATAAATTCATTTTTTGAAAGAAGAGAATTTTCCCAGAAATGTTTTGGTAGGAAAGGAACAAACCATAACTTGGATCTCTTTTTAAAAGTATGTAACTTCTAAATTGAAATTCTAAAATTAGGAACATCGAGGGTTTTTGAAAAGTGTTTTGGAAAAGGAGGTTTGCTGTTAATCAGTTAAAAAAATTCACCTGTAAAGAAATCAGTTTACATCCGCTAATCCTTTCTATGAAGTTTCACTGCCAAGCATTTGAGGAGTCAGCTGATTGTTTGGTTTCCCTCTGCGATTTAGTTTACATGTAGACATGGAAAAATGCAGAAGCCAAAAAATCTATGAGCCCTAAAAATCTGTATGTCCACCTCTGGCCATGGGATTTTGTATGTTAGCTTGACCCTGGTTTGTCATGACTCATTTAACACTTTTTAATGTAAATGGATGAAACACAGAATGACACAAGTGAAATAAGTAATCATATTAAGGCCAAATTCCATTTTTTGGCCACGAGGAAAAGTTACTCAGAAATCAATAAAATTTTGTTGTGAAAAATGCTCTGTATGAGAGCAAATATCTAATGTAGCCATCTATTTTCCATAAGTGGACTTTCCAAAGGAAGTTGGTTCTGTTTTTTTAATAAACAGTGTCCATTTAAAAACGTGAAGATATTACATGTGATTGATTAAACGCAACCCAAAATTTCGTTCCTCTAGATGGGTTCAGAAATCAATTTTCAAACCTTTAACATTTGCAATCTCTGGAAGATTATTTCTCATCTCGTCCATTAATTTGTCTTGTACTCATTTTCAGGGGAGAACCAGTACAATATTTCCTGCATCATCAATCCATTTATGGCATCTCAATGGATCCTTTTAATGACAACCTAATCGCCATTGCATGTGATGATGGGAAAGTAGTGCTCCATGATATCCGTGAGAGCTCTTCAACAGGTGATCCTTCAAATAATATAGCACTCCGTGCCTATCAAGTGTTGTGGAAAATTCTTCTCTAGTGTACAAAGTAGATATTCTGATTGTACCTTTGTGCCATGATCTAAACTTTTTTTCCCTCGCTCTTGGCGAAAGTGTTGGCAAAGTTGGAAAAGGAAAAACTTAGGCCAAAAACTTTTGCCTGAAAGGGTTGTGAAAACAGGCAAATTTAAAGAATTGTCATGTAAAAATCATCTTTTTTCTCTAGCTTGACTTCTCTTTTTTTCTTATAAGTACTTAGACTTAGTAAAAGAAATGCTTGACGCGTCTGTCACAGGTCAAGAATCTACAATTTCAAAATGTTCATATTTTGAGAGGGTTCCTCCCTCCCTGGCCCCTCTGGGGGTTGTAATCCCCCAACATTTTCCCCCTTGATGATTAGAACAACAGTCCCAACTGGAACATGTTAACTCAAAAATTGAAAAAGTTATAGCATATGGAGCATTTCTTTTCCTCATCCTGGTATGTTTTTACCCACAGGGTTGTTACAGTTCGGGAAAACTGGGAAGACATAGAAATTTCAGGGAAAATGACGAAAATATCAGGAAAAAATCGTTGAGTCATATTCATTTGCTTACTTGAATGGGTTTGACTTTTAAACAATAAAATTTGCATGAAAACTATTTTAAATTATGTCTTTTTAACCATATGGCAAATCCTCAATAGTCAGGAAATTTTACCAAAATGCGTTAGGAAAACCAAGGAAATGTCAGGGAGTTTCATTATCTAAATTCTATGGCAACCCTGGGTTAAAATGGTTGTCTTGCCTCTTCAAAAGAATACTGATTGTGCTGATCCAAACAAGCTTCCTCATCTCCACGACTCTTTTTTGCAACTTCTCCATTTTTAAAATCTGTTTTATGGGCTTTCCAATTTTTTCATTGATTGTAATCCATGGGTTGCTAAGTCAAGAAGTTTCAGCACCTCCTTTATGTTTTTACACATCGTTATACTTCTGAAGCAAGTTATTTTCTTGGTTCCAGAACATTTTGTCTTGGCTAGCTCCTCTTCAGCCTTTCATAGTGTCTACTTCAACCCATCAGAATCACGATTGCTGGCCACCGCAAATGCGACCGAAGGGGCCGCTCTTTGGGATATCAGGAAACCGAAACAGTAGGTTTAGCTGTTTTAATAGTTCACCCAAGTTATTTTTTCACTCGATGAGTACAATTCAATGCTTGACTTTAACTAAGACTTTTCCATCCTTGTTTGATAATACTGCCGTGTGACCGAAAGTCTTATTGCTCCCTAATTGAACGATAAGTGCAGAAACAAAGTTTTGAGAGAATGGATTTCGATCGAAAGGAGCCTTCTTTCTTCATGATAAAACTCTCAAAAATCGTTTAGATGATATAAAGCTGACAAGTTTTATTTTTCACTATATACAAAAGGCCTCTATACAAAGGGCCATTTGCATTTTCATGTTAGCCGAAAAAGCAGTAAATGCTGTCTTCTTCATGCTTTCATGGTTGTGTTTTGGACACAATGAACAAATTTTAAGGTTAAAAATTGGCAGGAAAGAGCATCATTTTATTCAATAAGTTTAGCCTTTTGATGGAATAGTACCTGTTACTGCAGTTTTATGTGAAACAACGTCAATTTTTGTGCACTTTCTGCTCTCTTTTAGGTTTTGTTATTATGCAAGTTAGACCAATAATTAAAAACAGCATTTAAATTTAGAGATAAAATAACAATATAAGTCTATTTTAAAATTCATCTAGCAAATTAATTCCTTTGCCAACCAAATTTTTTGTAACTAACTTACGAAAAACATTGTAATTGGTTGTTTCTGTAATTTCTTAAGGTAATTTTTCAAACATTTTTTAATCCTCACCCGTAATGGAATTTCCTCTACCCTCTCTACGGTCAATTTTTCCCGCCTTCTCTTTGTCTCTGGTATTACAATGGTGTTTGTCTCGATTTTTAATAATTTATCCTTAAGTTAAAATATTTCACTATTCAACTTATATTTAAAGTACTGGGATTGTTATTAATTTGTTCCCTTTAAAAATTATACGTTAAAAGTTTGTCCATTTTATTTTTTAATCCTCGATTTTTTGCTTCAGTCCCTCTAAATAACTTACATTTTTCAGAATGCTACTTCGTTTCGGCAAGCAAACAGGCGTTCAAAGTTGTATGAGTGTGCGTTGGGACCAGATGGGATCTCGGCTTTTAGCACTCCGCCGCAGGCTTCCCCCTGTACTGTATTCGGTTGCATCCACAAAACCCATCGCTCAATTCGACCATGCAGGTTACTACAATTCATGCACAATGAAAAGTTGTTCTTTCGGAGGAGACCGCGACCAATTCGTCCTCTCAGGCTCGGATGATTTCAACTTATATATTTGGAAAACACCGAAAACTTGTGCGAAAGGTAATACCTCCAATGATATTCTAATAGCATGCATCGCAATAGCAATGATACAGTTTTTTACAATTTTAGCTTTTACCATTGCTTTTTCAAGTTGACTGCAATTAGACGCATTTAAATTGAAAAAAACTGTTTCTGTTGTGACGTGAACCTTGCTATTCATCTAGTCTTACGGATCTCAGAGCTCATGTCGCAATGAATATTGTTCCTTTTCATTGAAACACGTCCAATTCAGTAACTGTGCTCCAACATCGTTGCACATATTCCTGGTAATATATGTATTCATAACCAAGTGTTGTTATGTCTTTTCTTTTTAGGTAACTGGATCAAATCTGCACACATGGTGTTAAAGGGCCATCGATCAATTGTCAATCAAGTCCGTTACGATCCTAATACCAACATCATCGCTTCATCTGGTGTTGAGAAATTAATCAAAGTATGTTCCCTTTCCAGTGTTTGTCTTTAGTTGCTATTAAGTTTTAAGGGAAATCATAGAAATGATTCTATGGAAAAAAAAATTCCGAAAAATCTAAAAATTTCATTTAAAATATCATGAAGAGCTAAAATTAAATTTTAGTAGACACTCTGTCCTATTTTCTTGACCTTAGCTCATTTTTCGATTTTTGAGGATTTTTACAGCAATAAATCAACTATGTAAAAGCATTTTAAATATGCAGCATTTTAACACAGTCCCTGGCAATTAGGTAAGCAGCTAAACTGCCGAAAATGTCCCAGAAGTCAACAAAGAAGTTGCAAATTTTAGATCTATTTGCAATCTTGACCAGAGTAATGATAAAGTGCTGATTTTAGCACTATTGCTAAAATCTTTTTCTCATTTTGTTTTGGTCAGTTTAGCAAAGTTTTGAAAATTTAAGGAAATTTTACGATTGGTTTTTGCAACGAACCTTGTAGCAATTGCACTGATGACTCAATAAGACTTTTTACTTAACTGTAAACTTTGCTTCACAGTTCTGGAGCTGCTCACCGTATCCCCCAAGAGACGACGACGATGATGAGGAGCTTGCTTTGAGACATAGTCCACGTAAAGTCTTCACTCACGAAGAATATCTCCGTTATGTCCTGATGAATGGCGAGGTATGGATGTTTCTGTGGGTGTAAGCACCTCAAAAGCAGTGGCGTGGCGTGACTTTATCCGATAGGTGTTCGGTAGGAGTGTCAACCACCTAAGGGGGGGTCAGGGGGGGTTTACCCCCCCTCCATGAAAGGGGGGTCCGGGGGACCTCCCCCGGAAAATTTTTTAAAAAATGAAGCCGCAAGAACACAATTTTCATCCTTTCTGGTGGAACACAATTTTCATCCTTTTTGGTGAAAATTGTGGCAATAAATTGACGTTTTATTTTATTTTATTTTTTTCACTGATCGTTTTCCTGCAATTTATTTATTTTAGTGAATTTTAGTTTCCCCCAAATTTATAGTTGTAATTTTGGTGAGAGAGTTCTTTCACCTCGACGGTGCTCATCTCCTACATAGGAAACTTAAAAACGCGCCGAAAAACGACACAGAAAAAAGCCGAGCACTTCTCGAATACGACAGTATTAGAACTTTCCCGCTTGTTTTTTTTGTTTTTTTTTTTTCATTTTTGTTTTATTTTTTAAAATTTTTCATAGCTTTTTTATTTTTTTAAGGAATATTTGATTTATTTTTTGATTAAATGAATGAAAAAAAATTGTTGAAAAAGTTTTTATTATAATTAAAATTTTCAAAAAGTATTTATTATTTATTCAGTATTCTTCTGAAACCATAATTCCAGCTTCTTGAAAGGGGAGAAGATCACGTTGAATTGCACAACACGCACCTGCGAGAATAAGTGGGAGACTGAGGAATGTGGAACTGAGAGATGCGGCCCGCGCGCTGCCCGCAAGCGAAGAGGAGAAGCGTAGGACGAATTGGCAGAGGGGAAATTCGGCCGTTCGCAGAGACCTGCGGACCACTGGCAAAGGAAACAGCTGGACTGATGAGCGACTCTCGTCTCTCGTTCTCTCCCTGTTCCCTTTTCTCTCTGCTATGTTCACTTCGCGAGCGCGGTCCGCACTTGTCGGCCGAACTCAATGCTCCCGCTCCGCTCTGTCCTCCGCGCCGGTGCCTCCCGCTCTCTCGTCTACCGACCCTTCTTCATCATTGCACCGAGGTTCTCTCTTCTCACCGAAGTGGGCAGCTCGCCCCGCCCGTTCCCCTCTCACTCTCATCCAGGATCGGTGGCCCCTCGCGGACCCCGCGTCTCAGGATTCTTTCTCTCCGCCACGCCGCATATCGCCGTCGGAAGAAAATCTCCCGATAATTATTTGCGGTCTACTATTCTGTATTGTTTCCCACATTGTTAGCCATAATTTATCAATTGTCTCAAAATATTTTAGGGTGTTCGGCGAACACTGCGAACCTATGGACGCCACGCCACTGCTCAAAAGGGTCATTTGAAATACCTTATTTGTTTGATTTCTGCATTGTTTTTTTCCAATGGACCACCAGGCTACGTATGAATTTAAGTATTTTGATTTATGTTTTCTCATCAATATTGCAGGTAGAAGACGATTTGCACAACAAAAATTGCTGGAAGTTCCTAACCAAGTACCTATTCATTTTTTTCTATGTATAAATTTAAATGTTCCTTTTATAGAAAAAATAATAATCTACTTGAGTTAAATCCCATACTAATTGTTATCGAAATAGTCTCTGAGGTATAAAAATATGACAACCTCAGTCTTGGTCCTTTGGCTCAGCTGTTGCACCTTGCTTACCCTATGAACAACAGGGGGTTAGAAAGGAACTTTAAGATACCTGCTGAAACCATCGTAGTGTGTGATTTGATTCAAGTAGACACTTGTTTTTCTTGAGGGCGGGAAGTTCAAATTTGTTTCAACCAGTGCAAAATTACTTAGAACCTTAATAACTTGGTTGGGAGTTGATTTTAGTAATTTTTGTTGCGCAAATCGAGTTTTGCTGGGAATTTTGAAGCAGAAACAAGTGTCAGAATGCCTCTATACATACCTCGTTCAATGGTTCATTCCATGAGTTTTACACATTAGGGGGATATCCCAAAATTTTTCATATTTTATCTCTCATTTCCGTGGTTTGATATCAGATTTCATAGCCCACCTAGAATTCTGAGCTTTTTTTCCACATTTTCCGTATTCAAAATGTGAGTTTGAGATTTTTTGGCTGTTTATTCTTAATCTGAAAGCCTTCAGTGACTTTTTTGAAAATTGAGCATTTTTAAGTTTCCGGGTTAGTGTGTTTTCGTTCTCATAGATTCATCTGAAGTTTGGACTTCAACAACACAGCCATCAAATTTGTTACTAATCTCATTTAATTGATCCCACAGTTCATCATTTCACACGATTACACAAACAAGTCCACCAATGAAGACCCTCGCATGATGGCGTTCTTCGATTCCCTAGTCCAACGTGAAATCGAAGGCTGGAGTTCAGACAACAGTAATTCATCCTTCGTCAATGACGACAGCAGCGATGAAAGCAGTTCCTCAGAATCCGAACTTGATGGTGAGTCACGATTTTGTCATCAGTGAATGATGGTTAACCCTCTGTTGCATAGCGTTACTGATTCATACCAATGTATTTTCGGGGTTTTTTAAAATTAAATCTTTCCCCTGTGCCACGATTTTGCAAAATTTTATTAGTTTTTTCTTTTTTTGAAAAATTGATTCCCTTAACTTTACAATTTTGAATTAAAATTTGGTCTTCTATTTTTTGTGCAAGCTACAAAATAAATTAGTGTCCCCTACAATCTGAGATCCAAAATTAATGCATGTCATAGAGGGTTTTTTCCTTAATGGTAAAGCATTTTTTATCTTAATTTTCTCTTCCTTTGAATGAACTTGCCCATGCAACAAGTCATCACCAAAAAACTCAGGAATATTGCGAAACATCGTGAATAACTTTTAGTTTTTAGTATTTTATCTTTCATCTCACTCTTTTTTCTTCTCCCTCTCTCTAGAAAACTCTGGGAGCTCTCCAAGTAGGACATCTATCCTTGAAAACATCAGGACTGTCAGTAAGTACTCCGCTATTGTAAACGTTAACCCTTACAAAGCCAAAAAATTAGATTTAGGGCGGTGTTCATAGTCGCACCTAAGCCCTGAGTATTGCCTACAATTTTGCAACCAGGAACAATGCGAATCATGTGCTGCACAAATTCAAGATTACACTTCCTGATTCTTGAAGTTGCTAGTCAAGGGGTAAATTTATAATTATTAAGAAGATTCAGTCTCCCAATTAAGAAATAAAATAAATAAATGAAAGAATTAAACTCACAAAAGATTGAACAATCTCTTTACTATGAAAAAACTTAAATACTTCAATCAGTGAATAATCTAAATCCATGGAAGTAATTGAGAATTACAAGTTCATAAATGTTGCAGGTGTTGCATCAAATCATATTTCCAAGTATAATATTATTATTGTCGTATGTGGAATGCAAATGAGTCAGAGAATTTCCATTTTTTCTTTTTCTTTTTTTGGATTAAAAATGAGAACATTTTTTCTTTGATGAAATCAACTAATGATAATCTTCTCTTTATTATCTCTTTAGAACCCCCTGTTGGTATGGTTACCCCTGAGAGGAAGACCCAATCGAACGGTAAGTTTTCAAAATGTCTGTTTACGGTTGTCATTATCATGTTTTGATGGTTGAATGCTACGAATAAAATTCTAACATCTGTTGAAAAGTTGAAAGTTTATTTTTACAAAAATCTCAGTGGTAAAGTGCTCTGAAAAAACGTAGAGGACACCCGCTGTGTTCTTTGAGAGGCAATTTCTCAATAATGTCTAACAGTAAGACTTCATGTTCAGGCATCATTAATCATGTTTCTCTTTTCTAAAAGCTTCAACCAATAACCCTTTCCTTAAGCAGCGCAACTGAGTCTCATAAGCACTCACTTTCCAGGCTTTAGATGAAAAGCTCCATCAAAGTAATTTTCTTCGGCAATTCAAATTTTGACAAGTATCAATTTCTACCTCTCCTTTTTTTTCCTATCTTTCAAGCACCTTCTAGGTGCTGATAGGCTTTTTCTTCACTGTGATAATTAAAGCTTGTTATCCATCAACATGACTTCCCTTTTTTAGTAAAACAGCACCTATAACTGATCCTCTTGTTTTTTTTTGTTTCAACAGAATTAACGCACTTAGCGCCTTGGATCCCTTCTCAATCCTTTGGTTAGAAGGTTCAGATTAGATAGATTTAGGTGGAGAAAAGAGTTTTCAGGAAAAATGGCAGCATTTTTTAAAATTATGTGTATGGTAGAGTTAGTTTTCTCATTGTTACGTCAGTCAAACATCCTGAGGGCTGATTTTTGAAATTGATAAACAAAGCTGTAGGCAAAGAAGACAAAGGTAATATGGAAGGATCCTATTTGTGCAGGCGAGTGGTTGCAATGGACAAAGGAGTCAGGCAATAGACAAACTATTGGCAACAATAGACAAACTATAGGCAACCCACGAGAGACTCTACAGTTAGTCCATCATTTATCCCTTAGTCTAAGAATCACCCATTTCAACCAATAAGATCGCTCCATATTCCCTACGTCTTATTTGTCTATCGAATTCAACAATCTGCCATCTGGTCCAACTCAAAAGTGATAAATATCATGTTACTCTCATCAGTCTTTGCTAAGGATGTTGAACAGAAAAATTTTCCCTGGTAAAATTTAGTGATACAATGCTTTAACATGAAACTTCCCAAATTTAAAATTAATTTCGATTGTCATTAGTTTCAGAATGCTCCGATGACGAATCCGATAAAGACCACAACCCAATAGTAGAGCTCATCGCCAAAAAACGCTCCCAATTAGTCAAAATGGCGAAAAATGGGCAAAATGAGTTCCACAGTGTTCGAAAACGACTGAAACTCAACAAAAATGACTCAATTTACAGTGAAGATGACTCGTGCCGCTTCAACATCAAAATCAGGTACTTTCTTACAACATTATTCAGAGACACTGATCAACACGTTGTCTGCCAAGGTGTTTAGGGTTCATATTCCCTCTGGTGCAATGGTGTTTTTTCTTACCTCCCAAAATGAAAAAAAAGAGCCATGAACAGGCTTCAATCATTGCTAGTTTCATGAGAGTGTTTAACGTGAGCTCTCGCATATCGGCTAAAATAACCAGTGTGACCCTCGTAAAACCCTTCAATGCCTGGGTGAATATCAACGGTGAAACTACCAGACCCTGTATCTTGTTTGCAACGTTTAAAAATCTCTGCTGCGAACTTATTTTTTTGAAGGATAACAAATCAATATCATTCCTTGAAGTTTTCATAGAGTTTTCATTGTCCAGAGAGGAAAAATTAAGGACGTTTTCAAGAATTGACAGTGAGTAGTGTTGCATTTCAAAATTAAAGTATGACTGAAAGTTTGCAACGTCGCTAACCGAGATACGTTGTCTAGTAGCTCATCTTCGATATGTGTTATGAAAATTAAAATCTTGAAATTTCAAGTGAATTATCTCATGGAGTTTCAGGAATTTATTATAAATGCGTTGAAAATGCAGATTTTTGACTCCATCATTTAAGAAATATTAAGGCACAGTGAATGTCTTTCAGATGTATGCAGATGGTCATCGTATGTATGTTTGCGTTTCATGTTCCACAAATGTAAAAAGCGTTCCTGTTATCTAAGTTTTTAAGAGCAGATTACATACTCTAGCTCCTGAAGAATTTGAAATGTTTCTCTGAAATTTCAAATCTTTCATATTTTTTCCATAGCAATCCACCCTTGATTCAATTGGCATGGCGAGACAGTCAATGTGTTAAAGGGCTGTAGATCAAATTTATAAAAACATGCACAAATTTCAAGGGATGTTATGGAATCGCCCTTTGTGGGGCGATTAGAAAAACTTTCATCTTCTTCTTTTTAAAAATTGCTTCATTCCTTTAACCAGTCATGGATTGACAACTTTATGCAAGAAAGGTCTCCAATGACCTTTATTTTGCATCGGATAAAAATTAGAAATCTTTGTATGCAGAATCAGAGGCAACATCAATACATTTTGTTGTTGTTTTTCGTTCTTGTGGGAAGTCGAAAATGCTAATCTCTCTTTTACGAATTGATTTTTACAATGTTCAATACTGTCAATGTAGTCCCCTCTCCTCTGCATAGAGTTTTAATAAAAAAGGTGTGGTGTATTACTGTGATTTCTATCATGTCTAGTGGTTTATTATGAGTCCTCTAAAGGTGCAACCTTTTGACAATTTTAGATTTAAGAAAGCTATTTCAAGGCTTCAAAGGAAGTTAGTAAAATTAAATTCTATATTTCTGGCTTGATTGCATACATATTACATTCTGTTTGAATTATTACATACTTTTATAAAAAGTAGAAGTCCACAATTCAAAACCTTTTTTTTGTGTGTGCATTTTTGAACCTTCCAGTCATCCTTACATATCACCTGCCGAAGAAAGCAAATCGTCACCTTCCAGGCAAAGTATCACAAGCGCTATGCGACGCTTAAAAATTTCCGCCGCCATTTTATTTCTGTACTGAGAAATTGTTGGTTAAATCTGTTTGGAAATTTCGCTAAATTTTATCGGCAGCACAAAGAAAATTCAGTGAAATTTTCGGACAGCTTCGTTGAACAATTTCTCTGTAAAAAAATAAAATGGTGGCGGAAATTTTTAAACATCACATGGCGCTTGTGATACTTTGCCTGGAAGGTGACGAAATATAGTCCACTTCTTGGAACGTTAGTGACAGACACAGGAATAGTAATAACACAGACTCAGAAAATTCTTGGGGTGGACTTTTCATCCTTCTAAATTTTTCTATTCTCAATTGTTCTAGGTATGGAGAGAGCTCAAACGCAAGCACGAGCGAAAGCGATCGTTGCCCAGTCAGCAGTAATAGCAATAGTTACTACGCAACAGGGACGAAACGTAGGAAAAACCGTGTGGGCTGCTACAAGACAAAAAATTTTAGGAAGTATGTCCTCCGTTCACGCTGTGAAACTGAGTCTGACTCCGAAGGCTGTGTCAACTAAAGACGCAAATCGTCCGCCATTTCTGTATAATTCCTCTGAAATCCACCTCGTTTTGATTTCTTAGAATGTGCTGTGCCTTTTTATTGTTTTGTTTTCGCTTTTTTGTTCGACTTTTTTATCTATTGTGTGCTGCATGTGAGAACTTCTCAAGGGATGACGGCGATCTCTAAAGACGGACTTTCTGACTAAAGTGTAAGTAATAATAGTTTGACCAAGGCCGTAGGTGAGATAGGAATGTGGTGATTAGTAAGTAAAGAACATACCTAATTAACTTAATTCCCAAGCTATTCGAGCTTACTACACATCGTCAGGAAATAAGGAATATCAAAGAAACATAATAAAACTAAAAGACAGGGAAAATAACCATTATGAAAACAGAATGATTTTTGGTGAATGCTATTGAGCTCGTTTTGAGTGCTGTTTTGTATCCTTCAGTTTTAAGCAAAAGCTTCGGAAGTAAGTTAATTAGGTATGTCTTTTATTTATTAACCACCACATTCCTACCTCATCCAAGGCCATGGTCAAACTACCATTACTTACACTTACAATGGTCTTATCAAAAATAATTCTTGACAATTCTGACTGCAACCTGAACTTGAATAGCTTTTTTCAAACCTTGAAGTTCATTGCCAGAGAAAGCCAGTGTCGCTGTTTGATTTCTCATAAAATCTTTATAAAATTAAATGCGGTTGAAGCAAAAATTCCGCAACTGCTCCATGGAGGGAAGCAAACGGGGAAAAGTATGAGTCTCTTACTTTATGTATGCTTGTCATAGATGTTACCAATTCGTAAATTTTGAAAGTTGCTCAGTGCAAGTTCTTCCTGAACGCAGTTAAAAAAATAACAGATTAATGAAACACATTCCTCCCTTGAAAGTCCATCACTTTCTTCCTCTTCGCTTTAGTTTTATAATCGATGTATGTAAAAAAGTTTTATTTCAAGTAGCATCCTCTCCTTTTTTCATGTATTCCTTAACTTACAAAACAGGCTTTCCTTGCACTCGGAAGGAACCATTCTCCACGTCAGAATCGAATTCTGCATTTGATTTTGATTTTGGTGAAAAGTTGTGATATTAACATACTTGCATATATTTTGTGCATATCAATTTTTTCCTTTTTTGTCTGCTCCTACAAAAAACTAAATTTATTTTAAACAAAGGTGCTTATTTTATTTTAGAAAATGTCAATTTTTCTTACCTTGCATACAAACCACTGTATCAACCTGTCGAAATGCTCAGTCCGTAGATTCTATAAATCATTGTAATTTTTGAGCGTTTGCAGGTGAAAAAAAAAAAAATTGTATCTTCGATGAGTGATCTATGTGTGATCTCCTACTGTCAAAGGGACTTTGGTGTGGAAAAACTCAAAATTGAAGTATTTGACTACATTTTGCAACGAGGAACTATTTTTTGCCGCCTTTAGCAACCCTGATACCAGCAACTATTTTCCTTCAAAAACTAAAATTCCGATTCTCTTACTCCTAAAGAAAATTACTCCACCCAAAAATTTTCTTCGAAACACTAGTTCTCTTTTCCTGTAGACGGTCATACATAATTTTACCATCCAAAATACATATTCAGCTTGATTGAAAAAGTAACTTATGAAAAAGGCTAAAATCTGGAGCATCAAAAAAATCTGCTCCCATAAATCATTGCGCAATCTGATATAATTAGGTCTTATTTCATTTTACTATTTATATTTTGTATGTATCTTTTACATAGGATTTTTTTTTTTTTTTGCTGATCTATTGAATTTAACTGTTAAAACATGATTTTGTGACAAGTGCAACTGCTACTGGCAGTACCAATTCGAGCCATTCTAAATTTCTGTTACTAATGTGACTGTTTTGGCATTGGATAAACGGATGGCTTTAACCAGAATTAACCCAACTAATGAAATTTTGCCTAGTCTCTTTTTTGTTCAATTTTTTCAGGAAAACAGTAATAACTGGAAAAACGCAGTTCGTGTGTAATCAGTAAGGTTGAAACGAAAACACCTGCCTTAAAAAGTAATCATCATTCTAGCTTGACATTTTGTGAGTTTGCTTTTAATAGGCTAGGTTAAATACAAAGAAAGTGTCAAGGCACTGTATTGTTTGGTCTTCTATCAAACATATGAAACTTGCGAAAGTAAACTAGGCAATGTAAAGTATAATAAGGAGCTGTTCATAAAGTACGCAGCACTCGGGCGGGGGGTGGGGGGGGTGCAAGAGCGTGACACCACTTTGTTTCTGTATGCTAAAGAATAGGGTCCTATGTCATAAAGAAGTATAAAGGGGGGGTCGAAAGATCCAAAATCTAGACTACGTATTTTATGAATGGCCCCGTGCATTAGGTTATCCGTCGAAATGGTTCCAAAGTAGTCGGTTCGTTAACCTTTTAAGTAGATATTGTAAGAAGTAGGTACTGTTTTTATTGTAAATGTATTTGCTTTGACAGAAATTATGATATGTATGTAGGTATTTTTAATTGATTGATCAATACCATTAATTTTTTCTTTTACATTATCTGTATCTACCAGTTTACTTTACCTAGTGCTATATTTTTCTTTATTTTCGTGAAATTTTAATCTGATATCTTTATTTTTATCTTTTTCTGTTTCCTAAAACTGTTGTCTCAATTTCTCTTTCAAATTTTGTAAAATTTTAACCTTTAACTAAGAATAAATATTATTATTTCTCGGGAATGTCACTGTAGTATGCTACCCAATGGGCTAACTGATGATTGATGCACTTCAGGTTGATGTTACATTTGTCCATTCTCTTCTTTTCTCTGCTCTAGAAGAGCGCTCTCCGGACATTTGGAGACAAAAAAAACACCCAAAATTTCAAACCAAATTGGTATTCTGGTACTTTCAAGTTAGGAGTTCATAAAGGAGTATGTGGCACTGGAATTTTCGAAGTAAACAACCGCCAAAAAACTTGAGCGCTAAAATATTAGCATTTTAATCAAGCAACTGAGTACGGAGGCATATGGCGGACCCAAACAAAAAAAAAAATAATAATAATAATAATAATAAAAATACAGGAAGAAGAGAAAGTCTATTTTTGACCACTGACTTCATACAGGCATTACTTCAATTTTTAAAGACTGTCATTGAAGTTTTTTTGTGCTGAACAGTTCACTAAACACCTCAGTTTTTCGTTGTTTGACACCAATGGAGAATTAGCATGCAAATTTTTTATTGCTTCATCTGAAAGTGCTTAAAGCGCTGATTTCACAGTAATTTTTTTAATTTTTCTCTGGTATGGAAAATACTATAAAAATAGATTTGAAAGTGAAACATACTTAAAAGCCTAGTGACGTCATCTGGCGGCATTTCCCACTTAAACACATGTATTTTAGCAGATTACATCATTTTGTCATATCCTCTATAATAATCGTTCAATTCATGAACCAAGGGTTTCCTTGTGTTCAGTTTCCACTTAAACACGAAATTCATCAAATTGCAGATACCTGCAAATTTTCTATTTCTTTTTACCTAAGGACAGTTACATTCGAATATAAAATATGTGTAAAAGGATAAACAAAAGGAATTAAGCCATGAGAATCGATTATTTTAATCATTTCATTACCTAAAGCACTTGCATGACAAACTGATCGTTAAGGTAACAAAGTAGGTAAGTTAAGTAAATGAATAACATACATACACGTAACACATCAATGAAGAACCTAATTGAAGAGCTTGGAGGACAAGGCGCATAAGTGCAGTTTTTGAAAAAAATGACTCATTAATGATTTCAAGTAACACTAGTCTTAATGCATATTCTGGGAAAAATTCGCTCCCAAATTCCAATTTTTAAGCACCGAAAAGTCAGTTTGAACCGCCATGCGGATCCATGTAATTTTGAAACTTCAAATATGTATTTATCGAAATAGCAAAAACTGCACTTATGCGCCTTGTCCTCCAAGCCCCTCAATTTCATTTCACAATTGAACACAGATTTTACCTCCAAAAATGGCAGATCACTGCCTTTTGATGATGCGTTTCGTCTGTGAAACTGCAAGAACGCGTTTTATATAATACCTATGTTTTGCAGAGTTTCAAAATCTCTGCTACCATTTTATTTCATCAAAGGAGAACTAACCAATACTTCCGCTTGAAATTATCCTCGCAAGAGAAGAAAAAAATCAGGTGGGTGTCCAAGAAATGACTATTAGTTTTTTTTTTTTAAAAAAAAAAAAGGAAATCTTCAGTGTCGCCAACCGAGAAAAGCGTTAAAACAGTTTCATTGAAATACACGACGGATGACACAACAAAATTTTAAATGTGTTCAATTAATATTTATTCTCATATTCTGTTACAACAAAATAATGTGCGCCCGAGAAATAGTTATTAATAGCACCAGACTGTTTGCCCAAGCACAGCTCGCTCGAGACGCCTTAATTCAAACTTCGCGCCACTCGAGTTCCCGCCAGTACGTCATTAGAGCATTTTCGCCTGCGTTTCGTCATCAAGAATTTTTCCAATTATTCCTCTATTCGAACAAAAGGAATCTTAACCGCAAATGCTGAACCAGACGTTTTGATTGGTCCAGAGCGGTTCATTCCAATTATTCCGAGTTGAACCAAAACAAGCGGGAATTTCAAATAATTCCGGATATCCCGTCTACCAAATCGTTTCCGTTTTCGGTAAACAGTGTTGTCAGTTTTACGAGCATTTGATGAATAAAACTGACAACACCGCTTTACCGGAAACGGAAACTATTTGGTAAACAGGATATCCGAAATTATTTGAAATTCCCGCTTGTTTTGGTTCAACACGGAATAATTGGAATGAACCGCTCTGGACCAATCAAAGCGTCTGGTTCAGAATTTGCGGTTAAGATTCCTCCTGTTCGAAAAGAGGAATAATTGGGAAAATGCAGCAATTTGAACCAATTTGTGCCACATTTGTCTATTGTTGTTGTTGCTTGTTGACATTCACTCCACGCACGTTGGCAAAATGGTAAGTTTCTCACAATTTTTTTTAATTTGATTTTCCTTCTTCCGCATTTTCCTTCTCATTTAAACCTAATGTCACATTAATCATTCCCCTCTATTTCTAGGCTGCCAAAAAGACCTTCAAAATCAAGCAGAAGCTTGCCAAAAAGTTGAAGCAGAACAGGCCTATTCCCCAATGGATCCGCATGAGGACGGGAAATACCATCAGGTGAGTTTATTTGCCTCTCTCCTGTAACATTCTGTTATTAAATAATCTCCTCGTCATTCTTTATGTTGGCGCATCTATGTATTTTAATGGGGACGCAAACCTCAAACCATCATCATAAGGTGCGATTCTGCTGAGCGCTTGCTAGCCGAAGTGGATGCAACACTACTCCAAGGGTGGTGTTGCTTGCTATTCATGTAGGGCGGTCCGCTGGTCGATTCATTCGCACGCCAAAATTCGCGTACAAACGCCCAGCGGAATCTCACTTATATTCCTCTCAGAAATGAGCTGTTCGTCTCTGCACTTGTCCAAGCATTTTATTGTCTTCATACACATTATGCTGATAAATATGTAACTGTAAGTGCTACATAAATATCTTTTCATTTGCAACTCATTCTTACGTCTTACTAAGAACGATACGAACGGAAGATACATTTTGATTCTCATTGCTTTTTAGACCTCAACAGAGGAAGTCTAATTTTTTGGAGGTTATCTTCCTGCAGAGTGATAAGTTACTTGCCTGCGGCCCGATTATTGAAACTATGTCAGCCCGATACGACAAGAAATAGCCCTATCTTAACCATGCAATATATTGCAATTCGATGTCATATCGGGCTGGTTTAAATTTCAATAATCGGCCTGCAGAGCTGATATCGATTTAACTGTTTGGAAATGGATTTATCCCATTTCAACTGTTCGGTGTTGTCGGACTGCATTAGAACTATCTGATGGCTTGTGTGTTTACACATGAAAGCTTAGCGTTACTACCAAATGTCCAACGGTCTTGGAAGGTTGATGGGACTGTTTGGGACGCATTTGCAAACAGAAGAACCAAATGGAATGGCTCAAGTTTACTTTGACGACGTACCTCCGATCTATTAGCCTTGTTGGATGCGTGCTGTGTATCTGTAAGTCGGAGAAAATTCAGAACTGGGCTGTATTTTGCAATTTAGAACTACATATCTGGCTCAGTTTAGAAATGACATATGTATATTACTTTCCCTGTGAACATGAGTGTTTTTACGAATGGGCTGGAAATTGTAGTTCTTAATTGCAGAAAGTAGTCCAATTGATCTCCTTTTATCAGGCTGGAAAAGCAGATTCTTTAGCCTTATGCTGGCAGATGTGGTGATTTTTATTCAAAACTGCTCCTGTGCCGTTAGCAATTTCTGCCCACAATGTGAGAATTTTTGTGTCCACAGAGAGATATCCGAGAAAAAAATAGTATGTAAGAATTGAAAGACTATGAACAAATGACTTGGGCATTTTAAGCTTTTTCCATTGATCGGCTCTAAAACCACTGCCATGAAACTGTTTTATTCACCGTAAAGTTCAGCAGGTCTGAATCTGCCATTCTAGAATTTTCTTAAACCAACTTGAAGGATACCCTTGTCGTAAATTTTTAGTGAATTATCCGTGAAATTTCCTATCACTATAATGACATCCTTTTTACTTTGAAACCTCTCCCCAAATTTTTTTACTCTGTAATGATGACTGACTAGAGTCTCTGACATTTTAGATGATGTCAAAAAATTAAGCTCAACAGGTCTGAACTTGTTATTTTTAAAGTCACTGAATTGAACCGAGAGGGCTATTTCTGTTGCATGTAGTATCAATGAAGAATGTGCTGAGGTGTCGGCCACCTTCCTTTTTTTCTAGTCATAGATCTGTAGTATACATGCCATTCATGTTTTGTTCTTTGAAATCTTCCCATGAATTTTTGTCTCTGTAATGATGACTGACTAGAGTCTCTGACATTTTAGATGATGTCAAAAAATTAAGCTCAACAGGTCTGAACTTGTAACTTTTAAATCTTCTAAAACTGATTTTGTCAGGTATTCTAGGAGTAACATATCAATGAAAGACTAATGAAAATTGGTCAGAAGAAATGAGAAAAAGAAAAAAAAAGATCTTGTAATGATGACTGACTAGAGTCTCTGATACTTCCCATGAAGTTAAAAAAATTAAGCTCAACAGGTCTGAACTTGTAGCTTTTAAATCTTCTAAAACTGATTTTGTCAGGTATTCTAGGAGTAACATATCAATGAAAGACTAATGAAAATTGGTCACAAGAAATGAGAAAAAGAAAAAAAAGATCTTGTAATGATGACTGACTAGAGTCTCTGATACTTCCCATGAAGTTAAAAAAATTAAGCTCAACAGGTCTGAACTTGTAACTTTTAAATCTTCTAAAACTGATTTTGTCAGGTATTCTAGGAGTAACATATCAATGAAAGACTAATGAAAATTGGTCACAAGAATTGAAAAAAAGAAAAAAAAAATCTTGTAATGATGACTGACTAGAGTCTCTGACATTTTAGATGATGTCAAAAAATTAAGCTCAACAGGTCTGAACTTGTAACTTTAAAGTCTTCTAAAACTGGTTTTGATAGGTATTCTTGTCTTGGAGTAAAATATCAATGAAAGACTAATGAAAATTGGTCACAAGAATTTAAAAAAAAAGATCTTGTAATGATGACTGACTAGAGTCTCTGATACTTCCCATGAAGTTAAAAAAAATAAGCTCAACAGGTCTGAACAAGATACACAAGATTTTCAACTTTGCCATTCTGCCCCCCCCCCTCCCCCCTCCCCCGTAATTAAGGTTTTTAATTTATGGAAAAATCCTGCAACCTTAAGAGATATTAATATTGTCGCAAATGTTTCTCTGTTGTGAAGCAAGAACACTTCCAAACAATGAGAGCAAGAGGAAGGGTAATTAAATACGTGTTTAGCTTGCAATGTCTCACAAGATACTTTTTTCCTTTCTTTTTCCTAAGCAAAAACTTGAAATTGATACTACTCTTTGATCTTTCTATCGGTGGGAATTATTTTTAAAGATGGAGTTGATTTAGAAGTAACTCCAAGAAAAAGGATCATTTCTTATTTATCAAGCAGACTGGTTGGGAATATTTGAACATTACACTTAAAGACACATGTTTTTAAACTTGCATCAATGACTTTCTCGTGTCTTGTTAACAATTTTTTTTTTCTGTTTTTCTTTCCTCTTTATCCTTTCTAATGTAATGTCGTTCTTTTTGTTTCAGGTATAACGCCAAGAGACGTCACTGGAGAAGGACAAAGCTGAAGTTGTAAACAACTCCAAACAAATCTTACCTTTCCGCATTTTTTTTTCTTTTTCTGCTTCATTTTGATGTATCAAACAGAATGAAGATTTGTTCACATTTTATCTGTAAACAACCGTATAGAGGATTTCCCTTTTTATAATGTTCTGATTCATTTTGTTGAAATAAATGAAATGAAAGCTTAATCGTAGTTCATCTCATTACTTAATGGTTACCGAACTAATTTTTCTGTATTTTATTAGGATTTAAACAAAAATTAAAAATTACTTCAAAGGACTTTGCACAAAGCAGCAAGAAATTTGGCTGCCAAATTTTAATAATTTTTGATAAATAATTTATTACGACCTTATTAGCATGATGAGCTTTCAAAATCTAACTTTCTGTGTGCTGATGTATAGAAGAGGGGGCTCAAAAGCCAACTTTCCGGCCTTTTTACACGTTTTCTTTTAGAGATATGAGACTGTTGCCACGGCTGTGTTGACACTGTGCCACTCACTGTTAATAGTTAAAAATTGTATTCTTTTTATGTGTCTTACCCTCTCAACCTGCAAGGAAGACAAAACTCTTCTGGATTTTCAATCACAAGTTGCAACATTACCTTTAGGTACATGGCGCAAAAAATGCTAAAGAATTCACTTTTCATCCCTGCTTTGCTGAAGACTGGCATGCAAGAGGGTTAATTTTAAGCTCATTGTACTCAAGAGGCTGTAAAGAAGGTGGTATTGAATACTATGGGAAGGACTGCTCAAATATTTTTTAAGTGCATTATCTTCAGAAACTTCTTTTTTTAGTATCTCAAGGATTTCAATCATTACTTGGGATAGGTCATTTCTGTCGAATAGTATATAAGCTCAAAACTTCTTTTGATAATAATGCCAATTCCATTCTTGATGTGAAAAACTAATTTTTAATTTAATCCTTAAGAGAGAACATTTTACTTAGTTCTTTAAATCTTTGTCCTCTCCTTTATTCAGAGAGATAGCTCGCCACCATTCATGACCATCAATGAATATTAGATTTTTTCCCAAGTCACAGAACACTTTTTCCTATTACCATTACCACCACAGATATCAGCCCATTATACAATGCTGTGAACTTTCAAAAAGTTACATCTCATCTATGGTGCCTCAAGATCTCTGCTCCCATTTTACTTTATCAAAGATTAACATACTTACAAACTTCATTGCTTGAAGTTTTTTATAATATTTTTTACACAGAAGAATACAAATCAGGGGATTTTTTAAGAAACAATGTTGAGTATTTTTCTGTTGAAAAAATAAATCATGGCGGAAAGTCTACAGTGTCATTAATGGAGACATACGTTTTCGTAGTTTCACTGTTGAGGTGTAAGTTCCATTATAGCTCTCAAAAAGTAAGACTCTCAAGGTACACAGAAAAAAAAATTAAGATCAACTTCTGGGATACTAAAAATCTTCATACATGTATTTTTTTTCTTCTCTTTGTCGGTAAGTCCTTGACCATCCTCCAATCGGAAATAATTGACTGAATTTTTACAAAGGGTCAAATTTTCCTTGTTCAAGTTCTCGCTCCTGTTTTATTTTTTCATAGCGGATCAAGTCAACTCATTAACTTAAAATTTAAACAAAATACGCTACCAACAGAGAAAAAGAAAAATCTATGAAGTTTTCAAGAAATTACATTGACCAGTTTTCTGNGGGGGGGGGGGGAGAATAAAGTATGATAGGAAGGCAGCAGTCATGAAAATTGTGATAAATATACATGGTTTCGCTTCTTGGCCATGGATTTTCTTTAGTCTCCTTAAAAAGTCGGTGTGAATCTTAAAGTGAAACGCATCTCCTTTGAAAATCCACAGAAGCCCTTGAAATTAGTTTTGATAAGCTCCCATGAACCAAAAATAAGTCTAGATAAATATTTAGTCGGTGAAGGTTACTTTACCAAATACTGAGGTACTTCCTCTTGCAATGGCCGTGAGGTTTTAAGCAAAATATTGCCATTAAGGATGATTAGACCTCTTACCAATTAAATAAGAAACAGGCAAAAGTCGAAGAGGAGAAACTCAGCCAAATAGTGCAGATAATCATTATCAGTATGAATTTTTTTTCCTGCGGACATGTGCTGACTTCAGGAATGGCCCTAAAAAGCGCATGCAGTACTTGGATGCCTCCCTGATCACAGCTTCGGATAAAACTTCACTTTTTCTAAAGAGAGAGATAGGTCAATTGAATTTTCGCGGTTTTTTTCCGGTCAACTGATCTTTCTCTCATTGGCCATTCGAATTAGATTCGCATCAAAAACGCCAACTACTCGATTGTGAGTCGCGCTAAATGCGCGATTCGTTTCATTTTATAATAGAGAAAATATTTATAAAAAAATCCCGTAGTTTTCCGAATGATCATCTCTTTGAAAGCTATATTAATATTAGAAGTGAGTTGGACCCTGTTCTCAGCGAATTCGAGAGATGAAAACTGTTCAATACATAGTGATTCTAGTGATTATTCGCTCTTGAAGCTTGCAAACTTGGGTGGATTGCATCTAGGCGTGTTGCGTGTTGCGTTTTCTTGCGTCCGTTTCCGCTTTTGCCTTGATTGTTTTGTTTGTCTCGTCTCGTGTGCAACATTTCAACGTCCAGCTGCAGATCATTATCAAGCTCTTTTCCCCCACTGAATCCTGTTTAAATAATTGGTAAAACTACTCATTTCACAGGGCTCTAGCTATTTAAGCTTAGGACGGGATGAGTGATTACGAGGTAAGTTCGTCACATCTCATTTCACGTTTGCCCAATGTGTTTCACGAGTGGCCTTGAGACGCCATATTATATTTCATACTTCCATCCTCATGCCGTTTGCATCTGGTTCACGCAATGTGAAGGGAAAAGAAACGTTAGATTAGCAAGATCGCCTTCATTCCCAATTTTACCATCCACTAGTCTTTAAGGCTCCCTTTTTTAAGCTTGAGGTTGTGTCCCAGCATGGTCTTGAGAATGGTCCAGCCCCCATCTTGCGGAGATATATTACGCACTACTTGCTCCTAACCAGAAGACTGCCAACTTCAGTGAAGCTTCCCGGAAATGGCCCTATTCGTAGAATGCAACTATCTAACCCTCGAATGTTTCATTGGGTTGGGTCCTGTTGTCCGGAAGAAGAGTACTGCTAATCAACGTCTCGATTCTAATTTCTGCCGAACTCTCTAATTGAATCCAGTAGTTTACAAGGATGTAACGTTTAACCGATGAGAAATGAGTACATGCAGTTCTTGTTTGTTCCAGCAAGTAAGTAAATCTGTGACGTTGAAATGTCAATTCTGCCTTTCTCGTGTTCTTGCCCAGAATAACAGGACAAGATCAGTTTCATTTGGGTTGGAAAAAAACAATACTACGGCTCTTCTGAGCGAAGTAAGGTACCACATGTGCGCTTAAGCAAACACCCTTCTACAGTCTCCGTCACCCTGCTGAAAGCAAAGGACTTTTGCCAAAGTAAACTATCTCCGCCAGATCTATCCTTACGCACTGGGTGTCAGGGACAAAACACTGTAATCTTACAGGGGTTTGACCATTGAAATTGTGTTTTGCCACAGGACAGAACAAAACTAAGCAATGTTAAAAAGAATTTGGTGTATAGTTGGCAGTTTCGCTGGTTTCCCTTGTCGTATTTGGGTTGATCAACAGAATCATCAAAGCCTGACCCCTTCTCAGTGACCGACAACCATTTGCAGTGTTTTCTTGAATTCACGAGAACATCGAAGGATTTTTTACAGAAAGCATGTCCATCACTGAAGAGAAGCAAATTAGTTGAAAGTTTTTTTGGGATTTTTTTTACTCATTCTTATTTGATTGGTGGGCTAATATAGCTGAGTCATTCATGTTGAGACGAATGTCAATCATGCTCTGAATCACTCCCACTGAACAGGTTCGTACATTCAGTCAGGTGGTACCACTGATGGTAAGTGGTTACATCAACTGTCAGTGTTACCGTTCTGCGTACACAACCCTGACGGCAAATTACGCAACATTACACGGAAAAATTTCCCAATTATGCTCGCCATTATGCCAAAAATTTTTCGAATGATGCAGCAATTACGTATTTTAAGTCAAATTATGCACAATTTTATGCTTGTTTTAAAATTCTGAAATATATTTGTTTCCTATGTAAGGTAGGAATCTAGAAGCAAAGTTTGCAATATTGCTTCTATGTAAATAACTATCTTCACTACGATCGCTTACCATTGGTTTTCCAAGATTCGGCAAGACGTACCTAAACTTAAAATAGTGATAATAAACTGAAATTTTCAAAAAAACTTCAATTACGCAGATTTCTTCAAATTTCGCAGCTATTATGCATTACACAGCTACCTTCAATTACGCAGAACGGTAACACTGTAAACATTACTTGACTTTAATCTCAGCCTACGATGACTCTGCTCTAGTGGCATCTTGAAGGTTTATGTTCAGAAAGCTTCTTTAACTTTCAATTTCTGTGAGTTAGCTTTGTTTCTCCTTTTTTCTTTTCTTTTTCTTTTCTTAGTTTTCATTTCTTTTTTGGGCATATTTTTCTGTTTTGAATTGCGTTTTATCTATCAGCTTGAAGTAAGTATTGATTTTTACGTGTTTTGCAAGCCTTGCCCCATGCCCTCTTGTGAACGACTGAATACGATAAATCTGACAATCAAAGCAAAAGACGCAACTTGCTTCACATGTCAGAATCTCATACATTTGTGTATCCTAAGGCCCATTAGAAAATGCTTGGCTCTCAGCATCTGTTGTACGAATATCAGAGGGAAGCGAAGGAAAACCTTGACCAGTGAAAGACCATGCGTTGTATTATCTTTTTGCCCCTCAGCGTGAGTAAAAACGTTCATCGAAGTGATTCACCAGTATAGCATTCATGCTTCACCCCTGGAATATTTAGATAAATTGGGAAATCGATATGACACTTGTGAAACTTAACTTATGTAATAGGACTAGCAATTACTGAGGCCCCTAAAATTATAAGGGGGTCAACTTGAGAAGGGAAAAGAACTCGACAGCTTTTAGAGGTGGAGTGGGACTTATGGATCATCCTGTACATTTGGACTTCATTTTCCAATAAGGAGATACTATATCTGTCTCATTTTAGGAACGGTGTATGTGCCATTAGTTTCCGTATGTAGATACGAACATTCATGAATGAGTCAGAAATAGTAGCTCCATACCGCAAGATGTAATCCATTTGAACAATGAATAGATATTAACGATCAACATAATCACTCAACGTCCAATGATAAGATGCCAAATTTTAGCATGAAAACCCCATGAACTGGTATTTTATCCAAAATTGATTCAGTATTCTTCGTAGGCATTTTTAAATTTGAATCGTAAAAAATCATTGGTGATACATTCAATGTTGAAATTAATTGTCAAAATTTCAATGTCTAATCTAATAGTCCAGCATTGTTACGGGCCAGCGTTAAATTATTTTGATGTTCTCCTTGCCTGCTATGTGCAAGTTCACATCAAGATTCCCTTGAACAATTCTGTGAACACGCTAACACGAATGAAGACACACATCATGAAATGATGGATGAATACTTAAAATAACCTTTTAAAATTGTTAATGCTGGATTACATTCATGAAACTTAACTCCCTCTACAAGATGAGTGTCAACAGAATTACATAGTTTGCCTCTGATAACTCTATCCAGGCTTTTTCCATTCAAAGAATAATTAGAAGTGTGAAAAAGAAAGCCTGTTGCCTCATGGCACATCAAACACGATTCACACAACGAAATATTGTGAAAAACTCGTAAGAAAAGCAGTTAAATAGACCAAAAACAATATGTCTATGTCATACTTTTCTCAAGAAAAATTGGTAAAAAGCAAGAATTGCCTACATCTCTTTACCTCTTTGATAACAAATTTTTACGTGAAATTCTGGAACTACCTATTTATGATTTCCTCACAAGCTTTTTTAAATGTACATTTTTCAAACTTGTAAAAATTACCAGTTTTACTCATTTCCCCCTAGTTATTTTACAAAGTGTGCTACGAGGGATTCTGTTGCAGAAGCATGAGTTTTCTGTACTTTTGTATGTGTTCAATAAACAGATAATTTCAGCGGCTCTTTGGAAATGTATTGTTTTCTGCTTTCTAGTTATACAAACACATATACAGTGTTCATTTAAATGTTTCAGTTGTCGCAAGATGGCATCATTTTCAGAAACACTTGTGTGTTTAAAGAAAAATCCGTCTTTGTAAGCTTTAATAAAAATAAGAAGAAGCGGAAACGTAGGATGTCAGAATTACGAAAAAATCATGAAAACGGGGAAGAAACTTGAGAACAAAAGAAGTCATAAGAAGTTTTGCGACAGAAGAAAAATCAGCTTGTAGTAGTTTCGAACTCGAAAGAGAAGAAAAATGAATTAGTAGCAAAGAAAAAAAGAAGATTGTAGTGAGTAAGGTAAGTGTCGAAGCTGGTTTGGGTTGGTGGAAAGTTAAGATGTTCTGGTCGCTTTTCAGAATCTGCAAGTATTAGAATTTGCAGATGATTGACCTGTGACGAAACGGCGAAATTGGCCATGAGGTGATCAGCTTCTTGTGAACTTAAAAACAAATCAATCATTCAAGCATTCTTTCTCACTGCCTGATTTTGTAATAAAATAGAAACATTTCAGTTTTATTCATGTTCTGAATGCGAGCCCTCTTTGGTTTTGATGAGTAAAAGAATCTGAAAAGACTAGAGTCTGTCTCTTCAAAATACTGAATTATTCCTCATCTACACCTACGCTTCAATCCCTATTTTTCAACGCAGACAGCAGACAGAATAGTTTGCCCATGACATGGTTACAGGGTTGCCACTGTCATTTTATAAAATCAAGGAAAACCTGGAAATGTTAGGAAAAAATTAGCGAGTCACCTTTATTTGCTCTTTGGAGCGGGTTTGACGTATGAGCAACAAAATTTGCCTGAACACTGTTTCAAATCATGTCTTGTTTACCATCTGGTATAACTGTAGTAGCCAGAGAATTTTACCAAAATGTGTGAGGGAAATTAAGTTCTAAATTCTGTGGCAACCCTGTAATAAGAGGCACATAAAGACCCCCCCCCCCTTCTTAGACTGGCTATTTCTGTGAAGCCAAGCCTGCCGAAATTCTGAAACTAGCCCCTTGTGTCCCTCCTTTATCATAAGGTAGCTTTTCTTTCTCATGTCTCCAAAGAGGAAGTCAATTGGAGCATGAACTCTGCTGTGAATTACATGTCAGTCTTAGCAGACTAGTTTTTAATGTATAGATGCAAGCAAAGGGTGTGAAAATGTTGGGTTGGGGTGGTTCTTTATTTTAACATCTTTGTTTTAACAGCTGTTGGGAGTTTTTATTTCCTCTCATCCGTGTGGATTTATTTTCTCCCAGATTTTTAGTCCCAAAAAAATGCAAATCATCTGATACCTAATCAACAATCAATGTTGCTATGGATATGATTCTTAGCCCTCAAATATCTTCTCTAGCCCTTGACTACCAGTTATTGTCTACTCTTCATTAAGTTTCATTTAAGTGATCACTTTAATATTTTTCCCTCTTTCTTCCTTAAAAAATGGTATGTGCAATTGTGAAAATGTTTCCACTTATCTTGTTGAAAGAATTTTAAGTAATCCAAAAATTCCTGTCTAGTTAGAGATTGATTGTTTGTGTCGCCAATTCAACTGGTGATCTTGAACTTTCATGCACCAAGTAGCATCCAGTGTAGCTTCTTTTGCTGTGGCTTTAATTACTTTCAAACATTTTTCTGTCTACATTCATAATTAAACATTCCGTATTAGCTCTGAAAGTAAATATTTTCGTGGAAGATAGATGTATGGTTTAAGATGATTTGTATTTTGTTGAACCTGGGATGAAAATTTTGATGATTTGTGTTTTTCCCTGAAGAAACAAATAAATAATTAAAATTTGAATGGATCATTTTTCTCTGAAAATAAATTGTGAAAGCCTCTTGTGTTAAGTATCTTTGATACGTCTAATCCAGTATAACTTTGAAGCGTTTGTTTTCTTAGTGAAATTTTGAAGTGTAACTATGTTGCAAAGTTCTTTAATTCACACCCCTTGTCTAGAGGCCAGTAGTGCCTTGCAGATGATAGGGATTCCTTCTCACATCGTTAAAGTTGATTCTTATCTCCAAGATCTATAGGAAACATGATTTTCTGTCTACAAGTAACATTTGGAAACTAGTTCAGACCCCTTCACGTTTTTGGAAAAAGAACCATTCCTCTAAAGAATTAATTTTCATCAGATTTTCCAAAATTTCTAACAAGTTTTAAATTCCTGCAAAAAATCTCAAGAACAATTCTTCACCAATAACAAAGTTTTAGTCTCATTCTAGTAAATTAACATAGTTAGTGGTTTTTCTACAGCTTTCTTGTTGTTTGGCTCATCCATTTTCTCATTTTCCTATTTTCAGAGTAACGATGGCTCAATTCACAGTGAAGAGGAGAAGAGAATCGTGCGTGCGTCAAGATCTCCGACAAGAAGCCGCTCACCGTCTGTCAAATCCAACCACTCCAGATCCAGGTATAATTTCTGTTGTAATTAGATGTATTTAGTGTCCTCATTACAGGTTTTCTTGCAAATATTTGTCTCTTTTTTGCCTCTCTTTCTGACCTCTCTTTTTTTGTCTTTTCCTGCATGTTATCAATTCTTTAAAGTGTCAAATTTACTGATGCTGAGGTACACTTTTCTCAGGTTTTACTGGTCGGATTTTCAAAAAACTTTTTTTGTCGATTTCTCAAGTTTTTTTCTAGCTTCAGACAAGAGGATTTTTAAAAATTTAGTAAATGAGGCCCTCAGACTTTTTTTTTTTTTTTTTTTTTTTTTTTTTTTGGATGATGATAAATAGAGGAAAACCCTCCTGTCTGTAGTTGAAGAAAAGGGTTAGCTGGCCAGGTTGGCCAAGCGGTCAGCACGTCTGACTTTAGACCAGTAGGCCCCGGGTTCGAATCCCGGTGGAAAGATTCCATAACTTCATGCATCACTAAACGTTATGTAACTTAATCAATAATGATCATATTTAAATAACTTGGTCTAGGATTGCAGATGAAGATATGCAGAGGAAAAAAATGACTTTAAACTCCCCTTAAACCCTGCTCAATTTCGCCAATTATTTTAAGAGATATATGTTTGTAAAATTAAGAAAAAACCTGGATACCTGAATCTTACTCAAATTGTTCCATTTTTACTCCAGGAGTGCGACTCACTCACCACGGTACTCAAGATCCAGATCCCGATCTCGACATCATGTTTCTCGTCGATCCCGCCACAGCTACTCGGATTCCAGAAGTCGCTCTCGGTCAGGTTCACGCGGATATCGTTCCAGATCGCGCAGCTCAAGGAGGAGGAGAAGGGTAAGCTTTTTGTCCACCTTTGTCATGTTAATAGTAATTTATCCCCAACGTCGCATGACAAAGCAATGAGCCTATTGTAGTCATATGAAGTTGAAAAATGTTAATCTTTTCACCCTCTCTAGAATCATCTCTGCATGTACAATATACCTGGGATTGGTAAAAAAGCCCTACGTCCTAACAAGTCAGTGCATTGTATATACTACCGAGAAAACAAGGCAAACATAAGGACTTTCAAGTTGACTCTGAAATTTGAATGATAAAGAGTTTCACTTGGAACAATGCAGATAAAAGAGATAAAAGTTACTTGGAAAAGAGTTAACAACCGGAAGCTGCCTGTTTTCTTGTTTTTAGTTTAACTTGCTATCCACAGCTAATAGCTCATGCCAATTTCCCAGGTGAAGAACTTTATTAACAATTTTGTGTGGCAGTTATTTTGACGTCAAAGAATTACTATTTATCCAACTACATACATGAACCGATCAATTTTATGAAGCAGTCAAAAGTTTTCATAAAGTTACTGTGAAGTATATGTTTCTAAAAAATGTATCCCTTTTAACAATGGTGTGTAAGCCCATTATTTTTTAAAATGGTACTGTAAGGTAGTAAAATTGAACAAGAGTTTTACGAGCCAAAGAGCTTCCTTAAGTTGTCATCAACCATACTGTAGGCATAATGAAGAAGTAGAAGTTACACCTCTGCATTTTGGTAGAGAGTTATTTTCTGCGAACAGTGTCAGGAAAATACAAGAAAAATAGAGAGAATATGATTATTGAAGAAAAGAAAAAGCGCTGTCAAAGGTAACCATTTTTTTTAAAATCCATATTCTGAAAGTACGGAGTGAAATAAGTCCTGAGAAACTTTTCAGATTTTTTTTTTAACTCTGAATGGCGAAGCAAATGTGTCATGAAAATGCCACATATGGGACCCGTTAGAAACAGTATTTTTGGCTCTGATGATGTAGTCAGGTGGGGGAACTGCGTTTGCTGATGGGCTGCACTCATCTTCAGACGTCGCCTTGCTACATCAATTGGTCGTCAGCTTTTGATTGATCCGATTTTGACTAGATTTTTCCTACCTCAGAGATGATTTTGTGAACTTTATGGTTTTTTCAAGAAATTTAACAGGGGAGAAACTATTCTACAACACTGCAAAATTCCTCGCCTCTGAGCCTTCATGATAGATACCTTATTGACAACTCATAGCAGATACTAGACACTATTCTCTCTCTCTCTCTCTTCTTTAAGTAATCACCTTTTTTATATGTTTGTTCTCAGAGTTCAGACAGGTACAGCAGCAGGCGCAGACATGTCGGCAATCGTGTAAGTTATTGTTTGTTTTTGTATCTTTTAAAAGCACTAATTTTCTCTTTTTATCCATTATATGTTACCTCTTTGAAAAATACCTCTAATTTTGTGCAACTCAAATTTCTCCCACAGCTGTCCTCCTTTCCTCGATCAATATAAAACCTTTTTCTCTCTGCATCTCCCACTTCTTCCTTAACAGGTTGACTATCACACCATCCGGTACTCACAAGGCTATTGAAATGGGTGAAAAAAGTGGCATGTTAACACTCACCCAAAACTTTCAAGAAATGTAGTTAAAATTATGGGACTTGAAGTTACGCAAACAGCCAACAGACATTGCTGCCGACACTCTGAAAGTTGCCAAACCATAATTTCTTTAACTCTGGTCCTGCAGACCAATATTGGCCTTGTGCGACTGGGAGCAGTAAGAGCTCTGGGAGTTACTATGTTAAGAAGAAAATTAAATAAAGTATATCCAAAGCATACGAACCGAAAGAGTCGAAAACAAACGAAACTAACGGAAAAAACCGAGGTAACAAACTGTGAGCTAATTAAATGAGAAAACAGAGAAGAATCGGAAAATTAAAAAACTCAAACTCACAAAATAAAATTAAAAAGCCACTTTTAATTTTATTTTGTTGAGTTTGGGCTTTTTAATTTTATTTTGTGAGTTTGAGTTTTTTAATTTTCCGATTCTTCTCTGTTTTCTCATATCCAAAGCATTTTATGTAATTTGATCATGGTGCACAATTTAAGAATAAAGTGTCCAATGACAGTTCTTAAGTATTTAACAAATTTCCAATGACACTTCCTGAGTATTCAACAAGTTTCCTAGAGAAGCATTTTACCGCTCACTTCCTAACTACAGAAATCATTACACCCTTAGTGAATCACTCTAAGAAATAGACTGCTGCAATAGTGAAAAAACACGAATAATACTTTTCCCCCAAACTATAGTTTTTCTGATCATAGTCAATGGAGGCAGAGCAATTGTGTCGGTTTATAAAGAGGCCTCTTCTCTTGAGTTTCTGAGTTACAATCTTTTTTCTCATTGATTGTTTTTTCCTGTTTTTTAGGACCATCCCCAACCAAATCGATGCATCGGAGTTTTTGGAATGAACGTTTTCACCACGGAAAATCAAATCTACCATATTTTCTCCAAATTTGGGCCTGTAGAACGCGTGCAAGTAATCATCGATGCAAAAGTAAGCCCTTTTTTTCTTTGAAATTTTCTGTTTTGCTCTGGGGTGTCTATCAGATTTTGAGTTATGTCGTAGTATTTTCTGTTTTCAATTAAAACTTGGTCTCCTTGAATTTTGCTGGTTCTTTGGGCCTCAGTGCCAATGATGCTCTGTTGACCACTTCAATATTTCCCAATGGCCTTTAAAACTTTTCCATTTGTAGAAGAGACAGTACTTAGATGCACTTATTACCCAGGCAAATAATTTTTCAAATAAAACATTCCAAAATTTTCTGTAACAATACGTTTCTAGTCTTGTATGAATGCAGAAGCGCAGGGCTCACCTTTTCAATAAAAGTTGAGCAATTTCTTCTCTTTTTTATACATCACAGAAAAGTCAGGGTATTATCCCCAAATTAGCAAGGGAATTTTTTCAGAAAAGTCAAAAAATGTTGATATTCACGTTCATTTTCCATCCTGATCAAGATCACGTCAACTTAAACCGTTGATGCAGAATACCTACCTATATGGAAACCAGGAATTTTCAGGGAAATTGGAAGAAATTCTGGGAATTTCACAAAAAATACCCAGCAGAAATTTGAAAAATTCGAAAACTTGACATCTGAAGGGGGCAAAAAGTACATCCTATTTTTACGCCAACATTGTCAATCGAGATTATGAAAACTTAAACCAGATAGTGAATACCTGAGCTGATGTAGCACTGTGTAAGTGCCCCATTCGCATTCAGTGCCCTTATTCACTATTGAAATTACTATTACTGTTAACTTTGAATTAATAACTCAAGTCTATTACTGTTAGAGAATTTTTACATGCATGAAACCCGGAAGAGTCCTGTGCTCCAGAATTGTTTAAAATATTTATTTTTTTACAAACTCGACGGGTCATGAAGACCCATTTGCAAGAAAATATTACAAAAAAAAAGGGGGGTGGGGAGAAAAAAAAATGTAAAATAAGCAAAGCCTTACTCGGGTTTAGGATTTAAGGCTCTGAGTTGCACGCTGAACAGGAAACAGAAAAATAAGTCTGGACAAGGAACTGCAATTTTAGTCAATCAAATTATTATTATGAATGGAAAAAGGGTTTCCATGCTCTGTCATTCAATGAAATTAACGCCAACAATTTTTCATTTTCAGGGCAACACCTGATCAATGTAAAAATTGTGAAAATTCAGGAAACATTGATCATGGAAAATCTGTGAACGTCAGGTATTTTTTCTTGCCAAGTCTGGAGACAGACACCCTACTGTAGAAATAAAATGGAAATCTTAACTTCCAGCCTGATCAAGAAGGAACGAAAAAATTTGATCTTTCTAGACTTAAGGATTTTCCTCCAAATGAGAAAAATTGAGTAACTTTCGTGTCTCTTTTGCTTGCAGACTGGACGTTCACGAGGTTTTGGTTTCGTCTACTATGAAAACTACGAAGATGCTAAAGCAGCGAAAGAAGAATGTTCCGGAATGGAAATTGATGGGCAGCGCATCAGGGTAGACTTTTCAATCACAGAACGTGCCCATACGCCCACACCGGGGGTCTACATGGGAAAACCTACCTAGTAAGTTTAACTATTTTCACCATAAAATTCTAAAATTCAGAAAAAATAATCGTCTTTTGCAACAAGGGAGTTTCAAAAAAACATCTTTGTAGCCAGTGTCAAAAAAGGACACTGTAGCAACTGGAACTGTGCAATTAAAACCATCAACCCCTGTTGAACTAAACTCCTGGATAAAAAAGGAAGCGGAAAATCTCATGCTGCAAATATTCCGTTTTTGTCAATTTTCCAGGAGACTCGCGAATGCTGTATGAGGTCTGTTCACTAAAAAACCGGATTTTGGTGATAAGTAGCCCATAATGCATCGGAAGTAGGTTTTCTTAGACTTCCCTGATAGCTGAAAATATTCATAAGAACGCTTCATTCACAAATTTGAAAAATCTTAATTAGCTTTGTTGGTACAAGGTTTGAAGTAAGACAACCTCTTGGGTGATCTGCTATTTTCATGTTCAACGGAACTTGTCGCTCTTTTTTCGATCTTACACTACCTCACAACCTTACATTACCTTTTATAACTCACAAGGATGATTAGTTTTTCGTCTCCATATCTGTTATCCAAGCTTGAAACGACCATTTTTGAGCACTTTTGCTTGCACTTCTTCCTTGTGGAAAATGTCAATGGGCCTGTTGCAAACTTTTGCTAGAGCAAAAGTAAGAGTTGTTTCTTGTAGATAATGCCTCAAAAATCACGATGAGCGCATTGGCAAAGTCTGAAATGCACTCATAACTTCACAATCTGCGTAAGAAATTTGCGTTTTTTTAAGCTTCCCGCTTCAAAAACGATACTACGGCACAGGTGAACATTTTGTTAGAGGAGTCGCTCCATTGTCGGCGATATTCATCATGACCGACGCTCGCGCGCAGTTCCGCGCGTAATTCGAGGAGAGTTCAAGGTCAATCAATTCGGGCGTGGAAAATATGAACGTTAACACACCGATTGTTATCTGGTCTAATTCAGTTCAGGTGTTATCTCGTCCCATCAAACGTGTTTTGGCGGATTGGCGTCGGCCATGATGATTATTGCCGACGATGGAACGACTCCTCTTACAAAATGTTCACCTGTGTCGTAGTATCGTTTTTGAAGCGGGAAGCTCAAAAAACCGCAAATTTCTTACGCAGACTGTGAAGTTTTGAGTGCATTTCAGACTTTGCCGATACGCTCATCGTGATTTTTGAGGCATTATCTATAAGAAACAACTCTTATTTTTGCTCTAGCAAAAGTTTGCAACAGGCCCATTGCCATTGATGGTCGATTCCCGTACTCCTCATCTTTGACGGACTTCTGACCAGTTTTGAATCGTCTGAACCACTCGAAACAAAGAGGAAAACTCATACAATGATCTTGGTAAACTTTACTGAGCATACCAAATGTTTCAGTATCAGGTATATAGAGTTTAAAACAAAATTTAGTTAAAACGCATTATCCGTGATCACATGATGATAATTGCAGAATGCTCCTGACCTACTCGTATTCAAGGTGACACGGAATGAACATTGAACAAAAGAAACAAAATTTGTGAATCTAGCGTTCTTCAGCATGTTATCAGCTATCAGGAAAATCCAAGGAAACCTAATTTGAACGCACGATGGGCTAGTTATCGCCAAAATCCGGTTCCTTATTGAACAGACCTTGTATGTGATTAGGATTAGATTAATTTTATCTTTAACTCTGAAGTCAAATACTTTTCAAGGGAGAGTCCTTACGAATATCCTGAACAGAAAACAATATTTATAGCCTGAGAACTAGGTGCGCTTTGCAATAAGGAACTGCTATGTCTGGCTCACTTAGGAACAGCACATGTGCCAAAAGTTTCCATATAGATTTCCAAGCTTTTCTGGCAGATCCAGAAAACAGTAGTTCCTGATAGCAAAATGAAGTTTGCAGTTTATTTTTCCACTAACTTCTTACAAACTACTGAAATTCAAAGCAGAAAAATTAGCTTGAACCAGAGTATGCTTTCTGTCTTCTGATCTCTCATGAATTTCCCTCGTGCAGAAACTTCTTGACCACGAGGACAGCTTGGTCGCATGAAATGGGGGAAACCCATGCGAGAACAAGGAAATTGGTGAAATCTGTCATAAGGGGAAAATTGAGGAACCTTCAGAATTTTTTTCCTTTTTTTGGGGGGGGGGGGGGAAGGTAAGAAATGCAGTTGCTGTTTTGAAGAATCAAAATTATTGACTTGCGTTACTTCATGTGTTAGGCAAAATTCTTCGAAAACTTGAAATGGGGGAACCCTTGGAAGTTTTTACACCCTTGCTTTCCTTCCGGAGTAATTACAAACATCTAAAAACATTCTCTTCTCTTTTGCAGCCGTGATCGCAGAGGTGGTGGTGGTGGTTGGGGAGGCCGAAGAAAATATGACGAGTGAGTATTCCTTTATTTTTTTCCAATAAACACAATGCAAATTCAAGCATTTTGACTTATCAACAGCGTAAGTCGGCAATCGCATATCTCGTTCGGGGTGTCTGAATATCTCCGCCTCTATGTTATTTTTTAAAGGAGAACAAATTGACATCATTCCTTGTAGTTCATGCAGAATTTTCTTCGCACAGAGAAGAAAATTCATGGCAGTTTTAAAGAATTGTCGTTGTGTAGTTTTCTGTTTAAAAAATAAAGTATGGACAAGAATCCGACCCAGGCGACCCGAGTTTGATGGTCTCAAACAATGGTTGCCTGGGACTGGTTGTTCAGTAGGGACGGAGGGGGGACAGGACTAAAAAGCGCGGGATTAGCCCTTGTGGGCTACTTAAAGTGGTAAAAAAAAAGGAAGTAGAAGAAGTCTGCAACATCGCAAACCGAGTTATGTGACCCGAGTTGTGTGTACCGACTTACACTGTCGATATGTTTACCCATCATAATTTGACAAAGAGCACGATTTGTACCATTAAATTCACTGAAAATACCTCCTGACCAAGGTATTAACATTTTTCAATGCTAATTCAATTTTCCTGCTCTTGTTCCTACTGATGTTCCATACATATTTTGAACTTTTCATCCAGGTACTCATCGTAACTACACTCTCCTTATTTCATATTTTCTGTTTTCTCTTTCAGTTGGAATGGTGGTGGCCGCTACAGGAATAATTACAGACGCCGCTCTCCTTCACCGTACTACGACCGCCGTCGTTCGAGATACTCGCGGTCTCGATCATACTCCCCACGTTAGTACCCCTGTCTATTTTTGCTTTTCCCTGTCTCATTTGTGCTCACCCCTGTACAAACTCCTCAAAGTTCTAAGATTCCTTAGTTTTTAATGTTAGCCACCTTATAATTGTATATTCTTCTCCACTCATTACCTGGATGGTTCCAGAAATTCATAATATTCAAATAATTCTAGAAGTTCATTTTTATTTTTCAAGATGCCACTAACGTGAAACTTGTTTGTCCACTGATTTTGTCGAAGATTATGGAGACCCGAGTGTGAGAACAGCAAGACTGTTGGTTTTCTTTTCCCTCCCCTCCCCCCCCCATTTTACTTCATTTGTACTCTCAATAATTACTCAAAAGCTCCTGAATTTTTGTTTTCTGAAGAGCAGCTTTCAAACCCTTTACTCGAAAATTTTTCAAGTGGTATTAATTTTACTCAAAAGCTAATTAGAATCTCTGGAATCAATTATTACGTGATCTCGAAGGGCAGCTTAGATCATGTGTCCGCATACAAAGCAATATTTTGTCATATTGTGCCCATTGATCAAGTTCGTTAGGCATTTCTATTGTCGGAAGTTATTTGGGTGGATTTAACCAGAATCAACTGACTACGTCAGAAGCTGCCCAATTTCTTCTCATATTTTACTCTTTTACTAACTAACTAAGCTAAATTCAGACATGAAATTTTTGTTAGAATATTTTTCACTATCTGAGGAAAATTCAACAAAATTTTATAGGTGTTAAATTGTTTATTTACAACACTTAAAAAAATGAATGAAGAGAGGAAACTAGACAACGTGAAATACAGTTTGACCAATTCTGGTCAAATGAATCCAGTCCTTTCCAGCTCTTCCATCACAGATCAGGGTGTAAAATTTCTAATTGTCCATGCTATTTGGGCTTTGCCAAAACCAGCAGTTGGAGGTAAATAGAGAATCTTATCAAGTGGCTGAAAAAATATTCTATCGGTATGATGTACCAATAGCGTTGCCTTCACCATCAAGTTAGTCGTTTCACAGGTTTTAATACTCTGACCTCTCTTACTTTTTTTTTTTTTTTTTTTTTTTTTTTTTTTTTTTTTATGCTCTGTTTTACAAGTATTTCCCAAGTTATTATCGTTCAGTATTCCCTAATTTCCATCAGTAGAAATCGTGGCTTGACAAAAGATCTCCCCAAACGTTTCTAGTGGTGGCAAAGGAAACCCTATCAGTACAATACATCTTGTATTGAAGCTACATACTCTCCCAACGTTACTTGCCTTCTTTTATGCACACAAAAATTATCAGTTTATCGGCTTATGACTTTGGTGTATCAAACCGAAAATCTTTTATTTTTTATTTATTTTTTTTTTTGTAGGGAAGAATCTTTCAAATTTATACGTTTAGAAACTTTACTTTTGGTCAAAAATCTTAGAATCCTCGATTGTACATTGCAGATGGCGTGTAAATGATAGAAACGTCCAGCAAGTTCTGTTTCTGAACCACTTTTTTGTATGTAACAGTTTTTTTTAGTGATAGGTACTTAGTAGGTTTTATCATTACTTGTACTTCTACTTGTATTGTGATTATATTCGAAAAGTTTAAAATGCAGCTTTCCTTGTACTATTTTGTCTCTTTGTAATTAAAGCTCTAACGGTCTTAAATTTGTCAAATTAGCCTTTTATTAATGGACTTTTAGACAAAGCACAAAAAGCGCTTGTTGGACAAGGTTTAAAATGCAGCTTTCCTTGTACTATTTTTTCTCTTTGTAATTAAAGATCTAACGGTCTTAAATTTTTCAAATTAGCCTTTTATTAATGGACCTTTAGACGAAGCACAAAAAGCGCTTGTTGGACATGATTTGTGCAACTTTTGACCCGTGAAAGTTTCTCACCTACATCTTGACGAATTTTTTGCACTCCTGCTGCGATTTTCACTGTCGAATTTATTTTCAATGCCAAACTAGAATGAAAAGGCAGAGCTTTCGTTGTACTTTGAAAGCACTAACTTTAGCTCTGAACTAGCCCCAGGTGTGGTTTCTGTTTTTAGAAGTAAATCCAATTATCCTTAAGCATGTATCCTCAAAACTTGTCTATACACTCAACGCCAGAAGTGCTATCCACTATAACTGTCTGATTTTTATGAAAATCATATCCGGACACAACTTAGTGCTCCAAAAAAATGTCAAACCATGTTGAAAAAAAAAGATTCCCCCATTTTGTTCTGTATTCCTATTTGCAATGGAACTGTTAAGAGGCTCCATCAACTCTGAGTTTTAAGTCCATTAGTCTGTTAAATTTTAATTTTAGCAGTAGAGCGTGGTTCCTCGTGAGAAGACCTTCCTTTTAATGTAGATATTTTTGCCTCGTCCAGAACTAATCGGCTCAAATGCCGGTTCCTCCTCTATTTACTCGTTAAGTAACATCATCTCCGTTCGCATTTATTATAGAGAAAAATGGAAGTTAACCAGGAGAAATGGAACCAATTGTGTTGTACGAAATTTTTTTCCTCACTTGTACTTTTAGTATCTGTATCTACTAAATGATTATTTCATTATTTTTTTTTTTTTTTCAAAGTTTCAGGGCTTAATTATTTTTTGTTCCACCATGTATGATATTGTGTAGTGATAGTCTTATTTTTTTAATGAAAAATTCCCTGCAATATTCTTACTAATTAAATTATAATTATGACCCAAACCATTTGTGAACGTTTTTTTTTTTTTGTGGAAGAAGTTTCATCAAAAACTTTAAATTTTAGAAATGTTAAGTCTTCGGTCAATTGAAAAATGATTCAGGGAAAAAATTTTAGGAATAGCAGTTAGAAGTTTTGAGATTGAGTTTTTTAAAAAAACCCAGACTTTCTCTTTTTTTCCTGACTGTTCTCTTTTTTATGTGAATCCCCGCGCATTAATCATGTCCTTAATTTTGTCAGTTGTCAGCTGAAAGCGAAGACAATATATTTCAGAGACCCCGCTTCTCCATCCCCCTATTATGTAGAAGTTTTTTTTTTCAAGATTCGTTTTAAGACGACTGATGATCAAATAATAAAATGGAAACAAGAATGACCTGTTGATCTAACTGGTTTTTTTTTCTTTGATTTTTTCACAAGGTCGCAAAGAAAAGGGTATCGGATGAAGAGTGAAAATGGAAGTGTGAAAAATTTGAAGATGAAAGAAAGTGGCAGGAAGTTGAGAAGTCTGGTCCAATATTTGTGTCAAGCATTGCAGTGAATGGCTCACTCAAGCAAGAAATTTTGAAGACAGCCTGAGATAAGAAAAATGTGAAGAAAGAAGTTTTTCCCCTCTCAGAAGAAAGAGATGTTAATATTTTTGCCTTCAAGTAATTCCCACACGCTAAGATCTCCATAACGAAGGTGAACTTTAGCCGTTCATGAACTTCAATCAAAAAGCTTGTACATATTAACGTTCTTATTGTAGTGGCTTTCATTTTCCTTTCACCCTTCTATTTTAATCATCACTCTCTCTCTGAGTAACCCTATCCTTTTAGGGAGATCTAACTGTTGGGTGAACCTCACTCTATAAAACTTGATGAAAAATCGAGGTATTCGGTGGAAAAAGGGTTCGTAAAATTTATATGTTCATTTCTTTGATCTCCTCGACCAGGACTGGTGGGTAGTGGTCTCGAACATTCTGCCTCTCGGTGAAATGAGCAGAGGTAAACTGTTTTGGGCTTCCCATCCAACTAATGCCTCAGTTGACGGATCAAATTGCTCCACCTTTTTTATTAAGCCAGAGAATTTGTAAGAGCATGTTCTGAACAATAGAGAATGGGAAACCAATGAGCAAGGTTTTTCTACTATTATAGATGTAGAGGTCACAATCTTTTCCTGACCAAGTCTGTTCGTTCCCGGAGATCAAGACATTAGGAAGATGGTGTCATTGAAGCCATCATGGTTCTATGTTGAAAAGTTAAGTGCCACATACAGCTGATAAACACACATTATTTATGCTTGATACACTGACACTGAATTTGCATGATTGATAAAGTTTTGTTCTTGTAAAACTGCATCACATTGCATGCCGTGCGTTTTGATGGCCGAAGTGCGAAATGACATCTCTTAATTCTGGTGTTTCAAAATTTCTACTCCTATTTAATTTTTTCGAAGAGAAGGAAGCTGAATCTTCAGTTCGAAATTTTCACAGATATTCTGCTAACAGAGAAGAAAAATTAAGAGAGTTTTCAAGAGATAATATAGACTTGTTTTCAAAGAAAGAATGTGGCATGACAGGAAGTCTGACACAGCTAACAGAGATATGTAGTTGCGCAATTCTGTCATCGACAAGGTACACTCTACTACAGGTATGGACAAATGGAATTTTAGAAAGCCATCGAAACGCTTAGATTTGACAGCGTTCATTGGTACGACTGAGACGCCATATTGGAAACTTGTTTACTTTCTGTTCTGAGAGTGAATTTCATCACTTCCGTATTATGTTTTTGTAGTCTTGGCTAAGTTTTTCATTATTTTTTGAGTTTAATCAATTTTTTAAATTGATCTGATAGCTTATTGAAGCTACCAGATCTGCCAAAATCTCTTCGAGGGCCATTTTAAACTGCGCAGCAAAGACGGTACGACTTGTGACGTCACTGGATGGTATATATTCTCAGCGCTGCCACTTTAGCACCCCTTTTGTCCATACCTGTAGTAGAGTGTACCTTGATCATAGATGTGTTCCTTTTGCAACAGATAGTTTGAGGAAAAATGAGCAAAATTTCTTAAATGATTGAAACAACCCAAATACAGGACAAATGAAATTTTTAGCTCACAATTTCCGTGGTATTGCCCTCTGGTCTCCTGCAGTCGACATTAATGTCAGAATGTCGATGTCGAGACCATGAGGCTGGACATCCTCAGTCTTTGTAACAGGAAGGAATTCAGAAACTTGCGAGAAAAACTAGAATCATCCGCAACTTTCATCACAAATATTTGTCTCGTCAATTGTAAACAAAACAAATTCCATGGCTCTCAGACATGCGCAAATATATTTCTTCCTCCGCAAGTTGTTTTTCGTTTTCTTCCTTTTCCCCACCATCTTCACCTTCGCACCAAGCTAGGACAGGCAGGGCCGGATTTATCTACTTGCCGCCCCCTTCTCATTCGTTTTGAAACATCAATAAAAACCATCTAATGAATGTGCCAGCGGGGGAGGGGTGCATAAGACGCGTCACTCGTGTTTAACACATTTTTTGGGAAAGCCCTGTCAACACTACTAGCAAAAGTTCACGGAACTTTACGCGAAAGTTAAGTTTCGTGAACCTATCTCTGTGTGGACTAGGCCTTCCATTCTTAAGAAATGAACGAAAAAATTATGAAAAAACAAACAATGTGGATTAATGATTTTAACTTCCGCCGCCGCCGCGCGCAGACCGCACCGTGTTTGGCGCAATGCATGAAGTATTCCGACAGACTTGTAGGCGCTATGCGTTTCACGCTGATCGCACTGTGTTTGCCGCAATGCGTGAAGTATTCATGCATTCTTGTAGGCGCTATCCGTTTCACGCTGACTGCAATGACCGCACTGTGTTTGATGCAATGCGCGAAGTATTCGTGCTGTCTTGTAAGCGCTAATATGTGTTACATGCCGATCGCCGCGCCGAGGGCTTCTCCTTGTCATCTCAAGTCCTCGTCATCATTTCTCTTTAAGTCGCGCCTTTCCGGGCCGAATTGCGTGTTTGGTTTCTCTCTTAACTCGACTAATTAAAGGTGCTGTCTCTTATATCACTGAAAGATGACAAAAGTGGAAATTACTATACTCTTAGGAAATGAGAGATTTTGTCGCCTTTCCTAGTTGGAAATTTTTTTTTCTAAATCCGATTTTTTTTTACACCAACTTTTAAAAAATTGCAAAATTTGCCGCCCCCTATAGATTTGCCGCCTTGGGCCGCGGCCCATGTGGCCACCCTCTTAATCCGGCCCTGAGGACAGGTAAAGAAAATTTTGGACCAAAAAATTAAAGTAGGTACCCATCGCCGAAAGCAAAGCAGAAGTACTCTGTATGAGCTATCTTACCCTTTTCTAATAGCATTCGGCTCTTTTAGCAGCTATCAGTTACATTTGCAAGGACTTTATTAACTTAAATTGAACCTTTGTGCATTAAAACATTTGATTATATAGTTATAAAAATTTCTTTGTTGGGTTTGACGCAACTTGCATTAAGAAGGATGCATTCCTCAATTAACTTTCCTTCAAGTCCAAGAAAGAAAGAGAGGAACCTACCTCTAACCAGCAATTTTCTCATCCATTTTTATTTTAGCGATTTCGTCGCAAGTTGATGCAAATGAAATCGCAATTTTTGTCTGATAATAGTGCAATAATTTGCAATGTATTCTCCGATCAAATCGCAATTTATTGCAATCACCGATTTTGCAGAAATTCTCCAGCTCCACTGCACTCCTGTGATTACTTTATCACCAGCCATATGGATGGATCTTGCAGCAGCCATAGGACCACGGGGTTAGGGGCCCCTGGGTCATTTTTAATATTCAAAATTTTGGTGCTGGCCGATTTGTCATCATGATGAAAATGGACGGATTATTTCAGCCAGATACATACGAATACCTCATAAACCGTTGGTTTTAGAGCAAATGGACGAAATTTTCCAGCCCTTCTTATTTCGTAAAATTACTAAACTTTTGCACCCACCATAGGCCAATTGGGTCGAGGGCCCTATATAGGCAATTTTAATTTTCCAAATTTTGGTGCCAGTCGATTTTTCATCATGATGAAAATGGATCGATTTTTTCACCCAGAAAAGAGCAAAAAAAGTTTCCATTAGCGAAGAAAACTTCCAATAATGGATATTCCTAGATTCTCTGCACTGTTTATGATGCATTAAAATAGACTGAGGGTCTTTTAAGTTCTTTGAAGGACTTCAGTAAGTGTCGATTAATAATATTTAATAAGAGAGACGCAGTAAGGAGAAGACAGGAATGGGTCAGATGCGTAGGTCACAAAATCGTGAGCTTCATTCTTGCACATCAACTAGAAATAATTGGATATGTCCAACTTTCTACGTTGAATATTAATTGAGATATCGCGCCTTGAAAAACTCGATTTATATCGTCATCCACCACGGTGGTGCATAGTATGTTATGCGCTACCGCGGTGGATGATGTCAAAAACCCCACTTTTCCAAGGACAATATTTCGGTTAATATTCAACGTGGAAAGTTGCTGTTTGGAAAGATCGTCTTATTTTTAGCTAACCTACAAGAATCAATCATTAAAACACGATTGTATTACAAGCATTGCTGGCCCATTGGTCCCTTAGAGACAAACTTGCAGAATTGCTGTCATTGACATGTATCTACATATTTAACAGGAAAAAGAAATTGAATCATGTCAGCTTGTAATTCAGTTTTTATTGCTTACACAGTAATTAACAACATAATAGCTTTTTTGAAGGCTACTAAAAATATAAAAAATACCTAATTTACTAAGTAAAAGAAAAAGATCAGGGGAGCTTCAATACGAAAAATGGGTGAACAAAAGGGGAAAAAAATAAATTGGCAAACAGTAAAAGAAAAGCAAGGGCTGCTTCGATCGAATCTCAAACCAATCGAAGTTGGAAGTCGTTCAACAGAAAAGACCCATGTCCAGAGGAAATTTTGAAAAACGATACAGGCTTCGGCACAAACGCTTTTCCTCCAAATTATCCTCATAGATAAATCCGTTCTGTTATGTTGACGTCCAGACTATCCGACGGATGAATCAACATTGCATGTGAGCTTCAGCTGAATGTAAGTAATTCAAGAGGAGAGATTTAAAGTTGAACTTAGAATTGGTGAAAACTAATGAGTTCTGTCGTACTGGATCTACGGCTATCTCTAGTAGGTAAATTATGGTTCCATTGAATGATTTGATAGTTATAAAATAGACAAATAAATTTCTTCGTAGATGTTGTGCTTATGTTAAACATTGTAAGGAAAACATTCAGTAGACGCTACTGCATAATTTTTTTAAAAAAATCGTTCATCGTTTATGACAAGACAGCTTACACCCATCAAGTTTCTCCGGCTTATAATAGAGACATCAAAGTCTACAAGATATATAATTTCTTTCTTAATATCATTGTTCCAGATGACTAGTCAAAAGTTTAACCCAGACAAGGGCTGGTTAGGTACTCTTTCAGCTTTGTCTCCGTAAGGCGTCCGTAATTACTTGCACCTCCTAATCAGCAATTGATTCTGACGAGGCATCACAAGAATAACAGGGAAAAATTCTGAACAGTTTTGCTTCATTCCTTCTGAAGAAATTGAGAATGAATCTTGTTTTTTAAAAAAAAAAACGCTCCGTAGAGACAAGGCCTTAATTTCCGATAACCTTCTTTTTATCTCAAAAATATTCATCGATGATCCTCTTTGAAGTTCGATCTCACCGATTAAGAAAAACTGAACTACGCTGAGGTAGATGCTGGCTAAGGTAGAACCGTAACAAATTTAAATCCCTTTACTCTCTCCTTCCACTTTTTTCCTTGTTTTTCTTTTTTCATCGTAAATACAAAATATGTTGAGGGACATGAGCACCCGCACAACAGAATGAACATGAAAGACAAAAACTTACTTTCCAAAACTGAAGACGGCTTTCTCAGAGAACAGATTAATTGTTGAAAGACTCACTGAAATGACTTGCTATACAATGTCAGCCTTTCACCAATTGTATTTGATAAATGGATTAGTCCTGTACGGTATGGAATACTATTTTGACGGCTAAAAAACTATTTCCAAGGGTCTGTTTTGAATTTTGAGCATTAATGATATCATTCTTCGTAAAGCATGGTGGATGAAACCACCTAAGAGTAGAGTATATGAGTGTTTTTGCACGTTTGTCTTGTAAATTAGGGACTGGTTCATCTGCCAACATCAATGTGCCAGGAATCATCAAATCCATAGAACAACAGCAATAGAAACACGTGGTTTTGCACTATGGCCACCAAAATATTCATTGAAAGGCAATATCTCAGTTTAAATTGAATACAGAGAGATGGGGTTTTAACCGTCAAAAGAAGATTCTATGAGAAAAGTAATAAATCCATTAAGAACTGGATCAAAGTTTCAAAAAATGATTGGACGAGAGTTATTTTTAGTGCTCCTCCCAAGCAGTTGAATAACTTTAAAGTCACATGAAATTTTGAGAGGTGCTTAGAGCATACAAAAGAATCCAATGATAACTTCCGAGAAAGCAGATAAATTCAGAGTTCAGAGTTTTCGGGTTCTGCTTGCGTTGGTGCTCGTTACATGAGACGATTTGGGCCCTCCTGGCAGAGTTTGTACAGAAACTTATCAGCAGAAAATTACAAAGGGTAAATTTATCCAACAACAACTTACAGGTAAAGTTCAAACCGGCTTCGGAGCAAAATAAATAAAACGAGAAGATCTAAAATCCACTCAAACAAGACTCGATAGGTAACATTGTCATCTTCATAAAATTCGCAAAATGACTATCGTTCGTTCCGACGCAGATCGACTTTGATCAATTCCGAAAAAGCAATCGTGACTCCTGAAAATTAAACTTGAACGATCATCATGACAGAGGGATCAGTTGGGACAGGCACAATATTATGTTTTGATTTTAAAGGCTTGAAAAGATGCCAAAAAATAATGATATCAGCTCTAATGCCAAATTTTTCCGTACAGTATTAATGAAAACATCGTCCTTCGAAAGGCAGAAATGCTCTCTGAAAGGCGACATTTTATTTCATAATATATGCAGGAACTTTACACTATGTAATAACTCATCACTTACAGTTTCATTTAAAAATACCATCAAAACATGATTCTGCGACTGACACAACTGGCTGAAAACAAATGTTCGACCATTCTTTCTTTTTATAGGATAACAGAGCCTTAAAATGGGGAAGTTGAGTTCAAGTTTAAATTTCACAGACAAAACCAAAACGGATGAGAAAGCAGAAAATCTACATAATAGAACAATAAACAACAGAATTATAAACTGGTTCTGCATTGCCAAAGACAGCAGCAAAAGCTGATTTGAGATGTTCCCGAAAGGCCTCAAATTGGACAAACCCATACTTAAAGTAACTGGTTATACCAGACTCAATAATATAGGCTATTCAGGGGACGTATTGTCTTCCCTGCTTGATACAAAAAAATTGTTACTTTTTGACAACCGATCATAAAAGCGAGGCTATTTTGGAATCTTTTGTAACCTCATCTCACTCATTAAGAGAGCCTTTCCAGATCATGCATAAAATCTCTATAGTAAAATAGGCCCCACTAACTGTTGTCCAAACTAAATAGGAGCGTTACACTTCACCGATTTCTGTGACGAACATGTCGTTCCTGAACTTGATCTACAGCTGGGTCTGAGACGGATCGAACGAAGTTGGGCCAGGAAGGTTCAAGGTTAGTTTCAACTTCATAATATGTGATTAAGAATAAATTAACAATACAATGCGATTAAAATGATCATCGATATTAAATTAAAAATAATGTATAGAAATCGAGCAGGAAGGGGAGGGAGTCCTTCTGCGCTTGGGACTAAGTGACTTTAGTGTATCAGTCGCTGTCACGGGTAGGGCTTCATGCGTTCGGTCGCCATGGACCGCTCCTTATACTAAGTTACGGGACACTCGCAGGGCTGTGCCTGCGAATACAGAGCCAACATCTAACAAGCTGGATTAACTTCCTTATCTGGAGAAAAAAAAATAAACAAAAACTAATTAAAATCAATCGATACAAACTTGCTCCTTACAAGTAAAAACAATTGCACATTCGAGTCACTCTCCTCATATTTGGTGTCACTGTGAAACTAGAGGTATTGCTACAGTCTTCTTCGTCCAGATAAAAGCGATCAAAATCATGAATAAACTGGCTAAAGATGTGTCGCACGGAAAAATTTTGAAGAAGAATAAGTCAATAGCAATCCTGGCACTAAAAATTCTGAGTTTAATAATGACATATTTTAGCTTGGAAAATTGGACTTACTTATACACCATCTGGGTGATGTTAGACGAAAACTTTGGCTAGACTATCAGCTCCACCACTGGCAATGTACGGACTTGACGGATGGAAAGCGACATCCAAGATGGATTCATCAAATTTCTTTCTATGAGCAGTGATTTCTTGGACACATGACTTAACATCCAAATTCCATAACCGTAACGAGCAATCATGACCTGTTTGAAAAGGTACATTTAATTAGTTGCAAAATAAAATAAAAAACGAGAGAAATAGTATTTCCGGCCGCTCTTGGCGTAGCAATCATATCAGTTGAATAATAATCCTATTCGGAAGGTGCTCTTATAGCATCATTTCTTAAACAAAGGAATGTGAATACATAACAATGCTCTAAAACTTGCCCTCTCAAATGGGCCTTTAGAAGGTATGAATTAGAGCACGTAGCAAAATGTTTCCTTTTTGAAATTTCATGAAAAAATCAGACAGAGGGAAGTCTGATGATCAACTCCAAAAACGAGATTTAAGTGTTTGCAATAAAAATTGGTTAAATGACAATAATAATACAAATTAAGTAATTTGTATAATTTATTTAATATGTGTTGAAAACTTGTTGATATCTTGATTAGGAGTTGATTTCCAAAGTTCCTGTTTTGTTAATCTCTCTACTAATAAACAAAGAATATACTTGATGAAGCGGGGACATAGGTCAAAGTGCATCATGTCTCAGGCGAATCATTTTATTCTGTTGAAACTTGATTGTCAAAACAAGGCGATAATTACATGCAAGAGCAAAACGAAAAAGAAATTCAACTCACTTCCTGACAGTAAATATAAGCCGTTAGGATCTATTGCTAAACTTGTCACAGAATCTAGGTGAGCAACCATGGTGTGGACCATCGAACCAGATTTGTGGTCAAAGAACCTGATGTGTCGGTCTTCGTGGGCTGTTATCGACAACGATATCGTTGGATGAGATAGAATTTTGTTAATGTGTTTGACACCGTCAGACTGAAAGAAAAAAAAAACGAAAATTCCATTAGTTCTGAGACACTTGTACAATTAGAATTAAGTGGCATCATAGATAGGTGACAGTCCACAGAAAAGGGGACGTTCGAATAAGGAGGCAAAAATCTCAGAGGATGCTTTTGGTGCCTCAGACGGAGGGGACGCCCAGTGAGAGGTTGGCGACAGGGGGTGTTGAGTGAGATGAGGGAGTGTCAACTCCCTGATGACCTGTGGGAAGACCGAGCTTTGTGGCGATTGGGCGTCGCAGAGCGCCGAAGAGCGCTGTAAAAGCGACTCATATGTATGTATGCTTTTGGTCAAGATGGGTCAAATTGGTATAAGAGTTTTCAACAGGAGAAGTGCTCTCCTATTTTAAAGGAACCCAGTTTATTTTATGAAATGATGAAGCCGAAATCTCTTTTTGGAGTTTTCTTCGACTGAGTTCTCTTTTTCCATGAAAAATCATCACACAGAGGCTGTGTCAAAGTTTACAAAACAATCGATATTTATCCACGCAGGCAGCCTTGCTTAAATTTTGCCTTGAAAAAATTTACATGGAAGAAAAATAGTGTTACCAACTAGCCAAAATCTTCTCTGTTGTATTAGTGAAAAGAAAAAGTGTTACAATGGAATTTATCACATCCAAAACAGTATACATTCCCTCACTTAGTTTCTATTGCATGGTGTCTGGCCAGAATGACTATCGAGAAGACATCTTGGAATTCAATGGCATGCTTTCGGAAATCTGAGTGTTAATTTGTTCTGCGATGACGGAACTTAGCGAATGTAAGTTAACGACTTATCTCAATTTCAAACAATGCAAAAATTGCTTATGTAGAAAATGTTTGCAAAAAATTCCTTTAAGCAATGATACCACCATTTTCACTCTCTATATGAGGTTCTTTATTCCGTAAACTTGAGCATGCAGTGGTCATTGTTGCAAGTCGGCAACTTGAGGTTCAGCCCTTAAATTTATGTGAAACAAACAACATTTCAATTATGAAACTACCAGATCATATATCTAGTTGGCGGTATTTAAAAATCTCTGCTCCCATTTTGTTTTTTAAGGCGAACCAATCAATATTGTTATTTTAAGTTTTCACCATCTCTTTGCACAGAAAAAAAAAAATTACAGAAGTTTTCAAGAATTGATGTTGAGTACTCTTCCCTTTAAAAATAAAGTCTGACAGGAAGTCAGCAACATTGCAAACCAAGATACATGGTCTATTAGTTTCACAAAAGACAGGCTGCTTCACTGAAATGACTTGGATGTGTACGTGAGAGAACACAGTGTTAAAAAAGAATCTATCTCATCGAAACGGTATACATTCTTCTCACTTGGTTTCTGTCGCATGGTGTCTGGCCAAAATGACTATCGAGTTGACATCTTGGAATTCAATGACATGCTTTGAACTGTTCAAAGATAATGTTCTTCTGTACTGACTGACTTCAGCAAGAGTAAGTCAACTACTTTTCTCCATTACAAACGTCGCAAACTCTGTTCTTCGTACCACAATATTTGCAAAACACTTCTTTAAGCAATGATATACCAACATATTGATTTTGAGTTTTTATTAAGCACAAAGGTCCCTTTTTCCATATATGGTCACATATATGCAGTGGGGGTGCTTCTCGGTTGACAACACGCAGTTCAGCCCAATTAAACAATCATATTTATCTGAGCAGGCTGTCTCACCTAAAAGCGACCGATTATATTAAATTCAAAACGGAGGAATAACAAGCTTACTGACTTCAAAAATCGCCAGTGAGCATGTGTAAGCGAGGAGAAAAGATGTTGACATAGAATTTATCTCATTGAAAACAGTATACATTCTCTTCACTTAGTTTCTATCGCATGGTGTCTGGCCAAAGTGACTATTGAGAAGACATCTTGGAATTCAATGACATGCTTTCGGACATTTGAGCAATAATTTTCTTCCGTGTTGACTGATTATAACAAACATAAACAAACTGCCCTCCTCTGCTTACAACGTTTCGATCACATTAAATTTTATTTGCTTGAGAGTTTGTCGCCCATCATCAGGAGTGAGCGTTGGCAAAGACGGGAACCCTTAAATACTGAGGACAAATTTTACAGCAAAGGTTACTTCATATTTTTCATGGTTACTTACTTCAAGGTCAACTTTAAGTCTTGTCAAAAGTTCAGTGTTGCAAAGTTCGGCAAAAAATACTTTCTTGCGCCCAAATGAGTAAGTAAGAGAAGCTCAGATGAATTTTCAGATAGCTTTTTCTGTAAAATTATGTCCTCAAGATGGAAAACTTTAAACCATTTTTTAAAAAAAAGGGAAAAAACCTCCTAAGTTTTCTTTCACTTACAATGAAAATTTCCAAGCTGATACGATTCACCTTCATAATGGTTTTACTGTAAAGAAAAGACTAGTTAAAAGAACAATCAAAACTAAAAAATTTATTTCTTAAAACCTGACTGAACTTACTTGCACAGAATCGAAGTGGACGACTGGCTTGGCAGTTTCTAAATCATAAACGATGCATGTGCCGCAAGTGTACGATGTAACCATTTGATTTGATCCATCTTTGATAAAGTCTACTGAGGTAGGAACACCTTCTGCAAATTAGAACAAAAGCGTTAATAATAAAAAGTAAATCAAAGTAAACAAAACAGTAGTGAGTTTTCCGCTGAAACGTTTACTTAAAAGTCAGTTAATTTTATGCTTTACCTTTGAAAATGCTCATCCCAACAACAGCATTTCAAAGTTTAGTTTCAAATACAGCGTATCATTGAAGAAGACAAAACTAATCTAACTGCCTGAAAATTTGACAGAATTTGTTACGTTGATGGAAAGAAATCTGAGGGCATTTTAAAAAAGAGGCATGTATTTTATTCGAGATATAAAGCATGAGTATATCCTAGATTGAGACATACCACTCCTGAGTTCAAAGTCGTTTCTATACGAAACCTAAAAAGTTTGGTACCCAAGAAAAAAATGAAAGTTTAAGTTAACAGCACCTATCAGAAACCTATTGAAGCTCATACGACTTTGATCTACTTCTTAATTTGCTTGCTCTTCATTTCTTCTGATGAAAAAACCTTTTTTCCGAATTTTTTTACCCACAATGAATTTGACATGGACTGATTTATTGAGATCGAATCAGAATCAGCAGTTATTTCTACAGTTGGGGCAATGGAGCTCAATTCTAGATGGATCTAAATTAAATCATGGTTGATGGATCTGACAAAAAGAAAATGTAGACTTTCCTCTTAACAAAATGGATTGGAAAATTAACAAATCGTTGGATACCGAAAACAGGTCATTAGCACACATTTCATAAAATTCATTGTCTGAAAGTGCAGAGTGAACTAAGCTTCTAGGATTTTTCAGATTTTTTTTAACCCTAAATGGTAAAGAGGCCTACATCGGCAAATGCCAAAAATACCATCCGTTTGAGATGATATTTTTGGCAGGTTCCGATGACTTAGTCAGGTAGGGGAAGCAAAATTTGCTAATTGGCTGAACTCAGCTTCAAGCATCGCCTTGTTATGTCAACTCGACTATCAGCTTTCGATTGGTTGGATCTTGATTAGCTCTTTCTCCCCTTAGAAATGCTTTATTGAACTTTTTAAAGAACCTTTTTCGTTTTGTCACGAAACTTTACAAAGGAGAAATTATTCTACAACCCTGCAAAAATTCCTGATCATCAGTTCCGAGAGGCCTACCTATTTCTGAAGAATACGTGCTTAAGAGAGGTGATTTAGGTTCGCTGGGCGACCACAATTTGACTGTGCCGTCTGCCGAGCAGGAGAGTAGCCGAAGGTCGTTGGCTTCGTTATTCAAGGCTGACAAGCCCCAGATGGCATCACTATGGCCTTCAAGCAGTGCAGCAAGAACATTGGGATCTGAAAAAAGGATTATTCATTACATATCTTTAACCACGGATAAAACACTGTGGTGTTACAACACCAAACAACATGGTGAAACAACAAATTGAAAAACCGTAAACACCATTTGCCTCCTATGGCACACATACAATTGCGAATGGACCAGAGAGAGAGAGGGAGAGAAACGGTATGGAATTAAGCACCAAAAATATATGTTTCCTATTTGAAATTTTACTCGAATTTATATTGATTGATGAAGATATAAGTACATCATTGTCCCTATCAAAAGATCTATTCAGGACGGATGCAACTTATTGCCTCTATTCGATACACAAACAATAGTTGTGGGTAATGATGATCGCTTTTCTAGTTACTTCACAAAGCACAATACAGAGAGGGGGTGGCTTACCAAAATAATTATAAGGATCGATATTTGAAGAAGGTAAATTCCAGCAACGAATGACACCATCAGTCCCACCGCTGAAGCACTGATCTCCTCTTGATGACATCGCTAGACAGAGAACGGGTCCAGTGTGACTCCTAAATGTGTATAACGGTTCAACATCTAAAGATGCGGATCTAGACAAAAAAAATACCAGAGGTTAGGAAGAAAATCCTGTGAGCAAAACTTGGGGAGATAAAAAAACAGGAAAGCAAGAAATTCCCAATCTTAAAAATCCCAAGAATAAGCTTGAAGTTTGGAACTTTTTGCGCTCTTGATAAAGATGAATAATAGTAGAAAAAGAAAATACTGTCTGAAGTTTTAGAAAATTTATAAAAAGGAGGGTTTTCTAAAAGGTATCCATAATACTCTCAGTGAGGAAATGACATATATCGTCACTTTTATCTTTACAATGAAATAACTAATTTTTCTGATTAGATGACATGTTTTAAAATGAAAAATTTAAGAAATGTTGGCTTCTTGTCAAAATAGGCAATAAAAAATTTAGGGCTGTGCGAGCCTGGTTTTTTGGATTCGAGCCGAGTTCGAGTATTTTTTCACTAAGTCGAGCCGAGTTCGAGCTTTTTCGAGCTTTGAAAATGACCCTCAAGCCGAGTCGAGCTCGAGTTGAGTTCGAGTAATTTCGAGTTTTAAAACGTGATTTAATCTATTTTCTACAACAAATAATTCCAAACAAGACTCATAATACGATTTTAATAATTATTGACGATGACACACTAGAAAGGATTTAAACTAAAATTACAAAATGTTCGGCAGTAAGAGCCCATTTATGCCCGCGATTCGTGTCGCCGTGTCGCCGGCGGCAGTTGTCGCCGCGATGTTTTTTGGAATCGCGCGATCCATATTTTTGTCGCCGCGGCACCTTTTTTCTGCCGCCGCGACACCGTTTTTCTGGAGCGCAAAAGGTTCAAAACACGTGCTCGAGAAGTTCAATTCCAAGCGGCGGTCGCCGAATTTTGTGGCGCGCATAAATGCGCTCATATGACTCGGTGTAGTTACAAACCGCGGGCGGCAGGAAATCGCCGGGCGGTAGCGTGTTGGCGCTGCGGATGGTAGAAATTTTCCGACGAGACTCTGATGTTATTCAATCGTAAAATGATGGCAAAACTAACAATAGTTTAAGTGTGATTGAAATATTTGGAAGTTGGACTCTTTCGGCGTTTCCGGCTCAAAAAAACTCGAAATACTCGAAAAAACTCGTGTTGTTGACACTCGAGCCGAGTTCGAGTACTCGCTCGAACCTAACCTAACTTTCGAGCCGAGTCGAGTACTCGATACTCGGCTCGACTCGACTCGAAATTCGAGTACTCGCACAGCCCTAAAAAAATTATTGAAAAATACGACCACAAATCCAATTTGTAGCTATTGGTCCAAATAATTTTACTTAATAATTTTGAAGATGGAAGACTTTTCATATTTTAGTACTTTTAGTTCGGATATTCCATTGCAATATGGTTAAAAAATAATCAAATTTTTCGGAGCCCTAAACTGATCTTTTTTCAAAAACGCAGAAACATCTAGAGAGGATCGAGGAACTTGTTTCAACAGAAAAATTATTGACTCCTATTATTTTTTTTTTAGATTTCCGCTTCTTCTAAACTAGAATGCAGTTTGAAAGAAGTTGTTTTCTTACAATAATTCATGTGCGAAATAGAAACTCACTTTTTTGCAGTAAGAGTTTTTTGTAGATTCCATAATTTTAATGTATGGTCTTCGCTAGCTGTAATGAGTACTGGATCTAAGGGATGAAACGCTAATGCTCGAACACTATCGAAATGACTTCTTAGCGTGTACTTGGCACTCCACGGTTTCCGCAGTGATTCTTTGGATGTTGTACTCTGCAAAAAAATACAAAAAAAAGATCAGTGGAGACCATTAAAGTAAAGAGGACAATTATTGAAGGAAAAAGATGAAAGAAAAAGGCGTAGATCAAAAAATTCTCCTTGACCTTAAATCAAATACATATATAGAACCCATTTCGTTCCTTACTACTAATAAGGCTGGTTTCAACATGTTCTTTGTGACTTTCTATACCTCAACATTTTGTAGTGTGAATGTGCTCAGCTGGTATTTCGTTACTTCAGCTCAAATGGTGATCTTTCATTGATTTATGTAAGTTGGAAGAGATAGTGTTGAAAAAGATTTGTCTCATTCAAAACAATCAACATCCTTCTAGCTCAGTTTTTGTTGCATGGTGTCTGGCCAAAACGACTATCGAAAGGACATCTTGGAATTCAATGACATGCTTCTTGTCATAAAATTTTAATGCCACTTTTTTACTAGAACGCATGAGAGGAGTGGGGTCATTTTTAGATTTTAGGTCCAACAGTTTTCCAAAAGAATACATGAAAAATTGTGAAAGAAAGTTCAGCACTTGAAATGTAATTATGTCCGTTCGTCTGGGAGACGACAAATTATAACGGATTTGAATGAAAGAAAGACCTCTAGAGTTAAACATTTACAAGAATCGCCACTGGATTTGTGTAAGTTAGAAGAGATAGTGTTGAAAAAGATTTGTCTCATTCAAAACAATCAACATCCTTCTAGCTCAGTTTCTGTTGCATGGTGTCTGGCCAAAACAACTATCAAAAGGACATCTTGGAATTCAATGACATGCTTCTTGACATTTTATAGAAAATTTTAATGCCATTTTTCAACTAGAACGCATGAGAGAAATAAGGTCATTTTTGCATTTTATGTTCAACAGTTTTCCAAAATATAAATAAAAAACTGTGAAAGGAAGTTCAGCACATGAAATGTAATTACGTTCTTATGTCTGGGAAATGACAAATTATATCGGATTTGAGTGAAAGAAAGACCGCTGGAGTTAAAAATTTGCGAGAATCGCCACTCGATTTGTGTAAGTGAGAAGCAATAGTGTTGAAAAAGAGTTGTCTCATCCAAAACAATAAACTTCCTTCTAACTCAGTTTCTGTTGCATGGTGTCTGGCCAAAACGACTATCGAAAAGACATCTTGGAATTCAATGACATGCTTCTTAACATTTTATAGATAATTTTATTCCCTGCTGACTGACCTGAATACATTTCAATAAACTATACCCCTGTAAATTTGTTACACAAAACAAAATATTCAGTTTGACTTACATCATAAGTTCCTTCCTCCTCATTGTTGACCGTCAACTGGGCAAGTTCACCGAGGCCAAGCGTAGAGTGAACGTTGATTGACTCGTCGTTGAGTGATGGCAGAATGTGTGTGTTCCACTCGGCAGCGTTGATTCTGTTCTGGCCGGCTACGGTACCTGACCCAGCGCTGCCCTGCGTCCCGGAAATCCCGTCCTCGTTTCCGCCAGCCCGGATTCGCGACTGCCCTGTTTCATTGGTTGGACCAACAGAACGACGAGAAGGTTAGGTATACAATTCGTGATACTCATCTTGATCACCCTTTTTGAAAATTAATGACTAACGATGGTCTTTATTTTTACCAACCAGCTTCAAAGAATTTAGTAAATCATTTATTTTACCCTCTTTTGGAGCAAACTGAACAAAACAGGCATACTTAACCTGGTGCACTATTCCATGCCACTCCGTGGAACATGCTGAAACTTCTCATAACTTTCACGGAAAGATTTAAATTTTATTTTACGCTGGGACATGACTAAATTATTTATTCACCTCCACAGCGAATGGAGCAGTTTGTCAGCTGCCCCTAATACAAAAAAATAACTATAAGAGAAGGTTATAAATGAAAAGAAAAAAAAATTAAGTAAGTAGTTGAATGTCGGTTACAAATATTTAAATGTCTTCTGAAACCTTGTAACAAGAACTGCACTGTAGGAGTCAATTCCACACAAACAGTGAAGCTGCAAAACTCTTAAGACTGTAGGAGACGTCAAAGATTTCCTGTTGTATTATACTCTTTTTCAAGCATGACTAATCATCTTCACAGAAGATTGATTTAAGGTTATTGTAATTTCCCTTGCAAGAATATTTTTGGAAAATTTTAAAACGACACGATGGAAGGGCATATTTTAGAGATTTCCCACGATTCTACGCAAGAGAGTTCATGTTCAAAAATCCTACCAAACCATCTAAGTAAGCATGACAGCTGAGGTACTTACGACAGCCATGTTTGATGACTGATGAGTTGAGGTCATCCCGCATTTCCTCATCATCATCATCGTCGTCATCGTCGTCGTCATCATCATCGTCCTCCATCTCGACGTCCGGCTGGAGAAAGTCAAAGTTGGCCATGACCGCTGCTTCTGTGTCCATGATCACTGACTCGGTGTACGACTGCTTCCATACAGGAACGCCGCCTTGCTTTTCTTCCTTGTCCCAGATCTTCTCCTCTGTTGACAGTTTTGAGTAATGAACCTGTAGAGCAACCAAAATACCAATATTAGTGACTGTAATGGCAAATCATGAATCGACAGTGTAAGTTGACAATCACATAACTCGGTATGCGACATCCCAGACTTCCATTATACTTTATTTTTTAGACGGAAAACTACTCAATGGCAATTCTTTAAGACTGACGTGACTTTTCTTCTCTGTGCGAAGAATATTCTGCAAAAACTTCAAGGAATGAAGTCAACTTGTTCTCCTTTGAAAAAATAACATAGAGGCGGAGATTTTCAGACACTGCAAACGAGATATGTGATTGCCGACTTACACCGTCGGAATATAAAGTCTAGTGAGTTCTGACAGTGAAAATGGTTATAAAAACTTAACACTTTGTTTTCTTTGAATTTATGTTCTTGTTCAGGGTCTACGGTGACGTCAATAAGTCTAAAAAAAAGTGGAAAGTTACTTGAACCAATCCAGAAAACTCTTTTGTGTATCCTTGACATCATATTGAAGGCAGTTTAGCTCCTTTTTCAGCTAACAGGGGTTATATTAGGCAATTTTGTCCTCAGTGGACAGCAGATCAGAAATGGCTTTTTCTTCAGAGAACATTCTTTCTCCGCAAATGGGAAAAGCAAAACTGCCAGTTTTGTTTGTAGGTACTTTTTTTCTACTGAGCGCAAGAAATTTTCAATCAAAAAGCTGACACAACACGACAGGCAAGGGTGTAGAGAATGCAATTCCAGATTCTGCATGAAATTTGGAAAGCGTGTACGTTTTTCAAAATCTCATCAGAGTCCTTCAAACTATCCGACAGTATCAAAAAAATTAGTAGTTTTGAAATCTTCTTAATTTTTTTGAAAAAATACAGAGTTTTCCATTTTTTGAAGTTTTATCATGTTTCTAGCATTTTTCCCTGAATCATTGAAGAGAATAGTTAACTTCTAGCTTTACCAAAAAAAGGGAATCAAAACTTCTTTCAAACAATGCATTTTGCTTGGAAAAATTTCCACTTTCAGTCAAGGCATATCCTGCACCTTCTTACCAAACATCTGGAAAAATGTAAATTTTGAGCAGGCACATTTTTCCGACTTTTCGCAAGAATTCATGAGAGAGAAAACAGTTTGATAGCTTTTTTTTGTGGAATTTTATTTCTTGTAAGTTTGAAAAGAAATTTTTTTTCTGCACCACTGATAAGACTGAAAGATTGGATATGGACCAAAGTGCGAATAAAGTAATCAATCAACTTACATTCTTAGCTTGTTCGCTCCCATTTATGGCTTGATTGGAGTTGTCCGTAGCATCTTCACCATGCACATTGAAACTTCTGTCAGTTGTTGCTCCAGAATTGTTATTATTATTAAGCCCTAACAATGATCTCACTCGATGGGACCTTAAATCTATAATTGTATCCGTGTAGCCTATTTCTTGTAAATACCTAGAGGAGAATAAATCTAAGATTAGTAAGACAGTCAGGGTGGTACTTTTTTCAAATTTCCTGTGTTGCTCTTGCAGTGTTTGCAGAAAGTAACTCTCGGCTAAAACGCATCCGTCACAGACGTGTTAATTTAACCACTTTGCTGAGACTATGGTCACTGACAACTTAAAAAAGCTACCTTTGGCTTGTAAAACTCTTGTCCAACTTATCAATCACACAAAGCTATTCTAAAAAATATCAGGCTTACCTAACATTGTTAAAACGGGACACATTTTTCAAAAGCATACTTCACAGTCACTAAATAAAAATTTTTGACTGCTTTATGTAATCAGATAAACAGTAATTGTTTGAGGTCAAAACAAATGTCATTAAAAATTGTTAATCAAGTTATTGATCTAAGAAATCAACTTTAAACAAGAAAACAGGCAACTTTTTGTTGTAAACTCTTTTGTCAAGTTACTCTTTACACTGAACTGTTCTGAATGAAAATCTTTTCCTTCCGAATTCCAGAGTTAAAAAAATTCCCTGGGAATTCCCTGTATATTCTCTCCAAATTTCATTCTCTGAATTTTACCCAGTAGTGGTAGCCCTGAGTATCCCATACTAGAGTCCATGTGAAGATTGCGAGCAAATAGTTGAAATCCAAGAGAGAAAGAAACACGAATGGACCATTTTACAGTGCAACTAAAGATATTTTGGAATGAAATTTCCTGACTTACATTGGTAGCTTGGGGCAGAGGGAACATAGCTACATTCTTCCTATTTTGAGATTTTAGGAGAGAACTACCCGGAGACTCCATCGCTTCCTACATCATCCAGAGTTTTAGAAGTTTGGGATCTCGTATCTGGTGTTTTACATCATTACTAAATTCTTACACACAAATGGAGTCCCTCCTCTGCATATTGAGAGAGTGAATAACTTGATTGCTCTAAAATCATAGTTACAAGCTTTCTACCGTAAGCTACTGAGACATTACTAATTTTCGGAGACGTTAAAAGAAAGTATAGAGGTAGATGATGAGGGGAAAATAGACGACAAAAGGAACTCACTGTCTAAGAAGCTGCCGGCCCTGTTTCCAGCTGATATTACTGACTGACGTAAAAGGAGCGTCACTATCTGTCGCAACATCTGGCATGCCCATTTCATCGAAAGTTGGAGGATTCATATCACCTTGTTGCAATTCTGTTCCATATTGAAGTTTGTGGAATTTCGCTCTGAGGAAAGATAAAGAAAGAAGATGCATTTTTAGTTTCAAGATTGAGTCAGAGAATTAAGGAAAGCTAGCTTCAAACTAGGTACAGTAAAAGCTTGTTAAGACGAAAAATGAAAGGACCCAAAAAATTTCGTCATAAGTGGCTTTTCGTCTTAACCGTTCTCCACTTAAGACGGTATTTTTTGGCATAAGCGGCAACTGCGCGTGGACGATACAGTTTTCAACAGCCTCGAAAATTTCGAAGCAGTTTTAATATCTGGACAGCTTTCAAAATCCAAACAAACTAAAATTAAAGATTATTTTAAGTAAAAGACTTTTTGAAAGATTATTATCTATCAGTTTTAAAATTTTAAATTTTATACAATACGAAATCTAAATTTTGAATTTTTTTAAAATACGCAAATAGGTTTATCTTCAACTATCGATTGCATCTCAGTCATCCAGCAAAACAGAGGATACCCACGATTTACTCGTCTTAACCGGCTTAGGTTACGGGTCAAAATTTCATCTTATCCGTATTTTTTTTACATTGACTCTTATGGAGGTGTCAAGGGACCGAAAAAAATTTCATCTTAAGCGGATTTTCGTCTTAACGAGCTTTTACTGTATTGTATGTTGACATTGTTTTTGGAGGTAAAAGACCGCATCATATAGTTTCTATGTATGTTAGTCTTTTCTTCTTTAATGTAGCACCAATTAGGGTTCGAATTCAGTCACTCTGTTTATTAGGTACTGTCAGACTGTGCTATTAGGGTGGAGCCCAATCGTCAAATAAGATTTCTATTAATATGATTAAAAAAATTATTTTGAATTCACTACTTGTGCAGCCAAGGTTTTTTCCCCCCTTGGAACTGTCTTGTAGTGTGAATTATATTAATTTTATATTTGTATAATATGTTTTAATCAAAATAAATAACTATAAAAAAAAAAATCATTGAACCATACATTATGGATTTGAGTCATAAATTACTATCTTGATTTCGACCTGGCAAATTGTTGGTCACAATTTCTTTCTTTTTCAAAAGGAAACTAGTGAATGTCACTTTGTGGAGAGAGTAAACTAATCTTGATTTTCTTTTTTCTTATTCAGAATATTCTGTGATACATTCAAACAGTAAATAGTACCTAAAGAAAATAGATTAGGCCATACCTTTCTTGTTTTAGAGCATATTCTAACATTTTTATCCTTCTAACCAAATCATACTTCAGATTCTCTTGACCTTTCCTTTCGCCTTGCAGGAATGCTATCCTCGCCTGTAAAAAGGAAAAAATAAATTAGGATATAATCATAATAGATGCTCATAGTTGGTCAGTGGTATCCATTTTTTTCAGAATGGTTGCTCTGGTAGGCAATCTACTAGGGGTGTTTACTAAGCACTAGGTCTACAGATTACAGTAATGAGGATACATCAGCATAAAATATTCAGATTTCTTTCCACAGTGATTCCTTAACATCGCCCAGTATTGTGAACTTTCAGAAAATCACTCAGTTCTGATTAGTTCACACAAAATTAATTCCAGTACATTCCTGAATAAAAATACTTAGTAAACCTGCTTCCATGCTTCACATTCCACCTCATGTGTGACTAACCAAAACTAAGTAACTACAGAACTCCGCTGACATATACGGAGTTTCGAACCGAAATAAATACAAATTTCAAGTAATTCGATACAGAATCTGATGTGCTGCCAAAGGAAAATTTAGTCAATGGAGCCAGCACAATAAACAAATGGACCAAATCTGAAGGGTCAAGGTTCAGAACTATGTCAAAATTCCATGGGGAGACCCAATGTTGCAGTGAATAGCGAATGAACAATTTGTCAAATTATAGATGTGACTTTGGACCAAGTTCTTGAAATGGGAATATGTAGTTACCCTATCTTCCCATTTTTAGGAGCACTCTAAATGGCGATTCAACTCGCATGAGTAGACGATTTTTTATTGTTAATGGCATGAAAAACTGAAAATGCAGTTTCCTCTCACCTATAATATGACTGTACCAAAATTGGAATGAACATACACTATTAAATGGGTCTCATGGTGTGTAATGTCCGAGATAGAAAAATGTTCGTTGGGTAGGCAAGTGATGCACAGATCAAAAGTAACTACCTAATCAAAACCAAACTTGAAAATATGATGAAGACAGGAAGAACTTCTGACCAAACATGTGAGAGTCTGATAAAACTAGATAGACAAAAATACTACTAGACAGGCTAGACATTCCAGAGTTCAGTGCTAGGTAGGTAATTACACTCCGATATATTAAGGATGAGTTGAGAGTTTGAGTCATGTTAGAAATGCTTCAGACTTGGTAACGGCTGGACACATAATCTTAATCATTTGATGTTAGGAGAAGCAGACTTGCGAGCACACAGAAGGCAGAGTGCATCGCCAGTCCTTTCAAAGCAGACGTGACGTTTGCATCCATCGCTTTGTCTGACATCGAAGAGAAATATGCATGCCAACAGGATGGGAGTAAAGATAGTCGATGGAACTTTAAAAGCTACGGGGTACATACTTAAAACTAAGAAACAAATGCTTACTTGGAGCTCAGCCTTATCCACTTCCCACTGAGATCTTTCCATTTCAAACTTGGCCCATTCATGTTGAATGAAGTGTAAAACTCCAGGCATTGAGTATTGTAACTTAGAATTATTGTCTCCATTTTGCTTGTTACCCGTATTCACGCCACTACCGGAACCCAATTGTCCATTATGATTCTGAGAGGAATTATCTTCCATTGTAGACTCACTATACAATGCTGAGTTTATCCTCATAATCCTCATTCCTCGGCGGCCATGACAGCCTCAGGTCTTTGAAACGCGACTTCGGACGAAATTCACATTCGAGTGGGGTGTTATCTATACACTAATTGGTGCGGATGAACGAGGCAAACCACTAAAATTAAAACACAATTGATTTTAACACTGAATTACGAAGCTGAACATCGAAATCTGTCTGGAATAACAACGCATAATTCGTAAATTTTTTTGACAGAATTTCTTTTGCACTGTCGGCAGCAGGATTGCCAATTGTTTGCTTCCACACGCAAGACGGCAACTTAACAAATCAAAATTTTACTCCCGGTAGTTGGAAAATTGAAAAGAATATGAAATTGAACGAGATAATTATGATTGTCTAAATTCCTACGCTCCTTAATTTGAAAGAATCGTTTTCAGCTGAGAATTTAAAGAGTCCTCGGTGGGTGTCGAAATGGGTTCATGCGTCGAAAATAATTTTGTGCTCTTCGAAGTCTCGCCAAATGTTGCTGGACTTGAGCTAGGAGGGGCGAATCGAGATCGGAGATCCCTTCCGAGCGACCCACCCCCTCGCATCTGCGAAGTCTAAAATCCTCGCCCTTTTCGTCAATCTACTATCTAGCATGATGGTCCCGTCCCTGAGACAAATTACGTCATTAATTAGTTCCTTCTCATCCTCCCCTGCTTTGTTTCACCCACAGAACATTGGTGCCGGCTATGAAAATCGTCCCTACATCGCACCGATCGCTGCGTACCGCGACTTATCGCTGATGATAAGGTGGTCTGTAAATATCATGAACCCGTTTCGATTTCCTTACTTATTTTACTAGGTGCATAACTGAGTGACGTCCGTTCGCCCCTCAACACCCCCGCAGCGAATGCGTGTTCCGCAAAGCTTTTTATGCCCTCCAATAGACTCAGATCGGGCTCTGGTATCAACAAGAGGGGAGGGTGTAGGGGGAGCCCTTGATTGGGTGGGAACTTTAAAATTGCGCACGGGGAAACTTTACCGAAAAGAGGTGAGCATTTGAGAAGCGAACGAGGTCTTTGCCATGATGATACCAAAATTCACCGAAATTAGCTTGGTTTTACCTGTAAACACGGATTAAATTGGATTGCTGATTTAAAAAATAAATTATGTAAAAAAATATGTACAACATGTTTCAAATGGACCGCATCTAGCAGAAAGGAACCAAGCCACATCAGCTATTGCCAAATTTCACAGAGCAATTTAATTTATGACAAGATTATGTTCGTGCGGAGTTTTTTGATAATTTCAAGGAATTCGCTTCGTACTATGCAGAAAATACATTGAAATTTGCAAAAAAAAAAAAAAAAAAAAAAAAAAAAAAAACGCACAACCTTCTTCACGTAAAAAATATAATTGCCCGATTAAATTTGCCAATAAGTAGCTGATGTGGCTTGGTTTCTTTCTGTTTAACGTGGTCCAAATGCACATTTTACAATCAGGGCCGGATTAAGGGGGTGGCCACATGGGCCGCGGCCCATGGCGGCAAATCTAGGGGGCGGCAAATTTTGCAATTTTTTTAAATGTATATGTAGGTATGGAAAAAATCGGATTTAGAAAAAAAAATTACAAACGAGAAAAAGCTACAAAAACTCTCATTTCCTGAGAGTATAGTAATTTCTAATTTTGTCGTCTATCATTGATACAAAGAGACAGCACCGCTAATTAGTCGAGTTAAGAGAGAAACCAAACACACAATTTGGCCTGGAACGGCGCGACTTAGGGAGGAATGATAACGAGGACTTGAGATGATAAGGAGAAGCCCTCGGCGCGGCAATCGGCATGTAACACATATTAGCGCCTACAAGATTGCACGAATACTTCCCGCATTGCATCAAACACAGTGCGGTTATTGTGGTCAGCGTGAAACGGGTAGCGCCTACAAGAATGCATGAATACTTCACGCATTGCGCCAAACTCAGTGCGGTAAGCGTGAAACTTATAGCGCCTACAAGACTGCGTGAATACTTCACGCATTGCGTCAAACACGGCGCGGTCGGCGGAAGTTAAAATCATTGAACCAAATTTTGTGTTTGTTCTTTCATAATTTTTTCGTTCATTTCTTATGAATGGAAGGCCTTGCTCACACAGAGATAGGTTTACGGAACTTGACTCTCGCGCAAAGTTCCGTGACCTTTTGCTAGTAGTGTCGACAGGGTTTCCCCAAAAAATGTATTCAACACGAGTAAATGCGTCTTGGGGCCGAATCTATATTGCATGAGGTCTAGTCTTTTAATTGCATTTCATTTTTTTTTTAAAAAAAAATAGCAATCAAGCAAGGTTTGCAGGGGAAAAGAGAATCCCAACCATTCTCGACGAATATCATAAAATCGACCAGAATTTCCCCTATGCAAAAGTTAAGTTCTAATGCAGGGGAGGGGGCGAATGCATATCAATGGCAAATTTGCAAAAGCATGTGTCTCTATTTGCTACGTTGCAGACTTCCTGTCTTAATTTATTTTGTCTTTGAAAAACCAGGGTGTCTAGCAATTTTCAAAAATAAAAATTCCCCAACAATTCCCTGATTTCCCTGACATTTCCCTGATAAAACCGGCCAAAAATTGGAGGAAAATTTAAAATTCTCTGACAAAAAGGAAAATTATTCCTAATTTTTCGATGTGGTTGAACTATTAGATGAAAGTAAGAATTTGTTCATGTTTTAGAGTTACAATGTAACGTAAACACATACGAGACACGTTTGCCTCATTTTTAAAAAAAAAAAGAAATCAGCGGAAATTCTGGTACTTAGAAATTTTAGTACTGATTCCACTTTTCTGAAACTTGATTCATCATCAATTTTCAACAAAAAAAAAATTCGTGTTTTTCAATTTCCCTGACTTTCCCCTGACAGGAAGATTGCTTGCAAAATAAAATTCCTTGACATTCCCCGGTTTTCCAGGTTGCTAGACACCCTGAGAGCAAATCAATGTATATTCTTGATAACTTCCTTGATTTATCTTCTCTGTTTGCAAAATATTCTATATTTTGAAGCTACAAAGTTGACTTGCTTCTCTTCCAAAAAAAAAAAAAAAAAAAAAAAAAAAAAAAAAAAAAAAAAAAAAAAAAAAAAAAAAAAAAAAAAAAAAAA